TGAAGGGCCGGGGGAAAAAAGGCCCCTGCCTGTTGGGGGAGAGAAAAGGCCCCGCTGGGTGGGACTTCAGCCCTGAGCCCCTGCTCACACCCTAACCTCACTCTCACACTCCCCCCCACATTCCCAGCTCCCTGCCCTGAGCCCTTCCTCAACCCCCACCCTGACTCCTGTACCACCCATACTCCTAGTCTGCTTCCTAGTCCCCTCCCCCACATCCCCTAGGCCCTGGCCCAACTCCCGCACACACACTCAGCACCAGCCCTCTGCTCTGAAGGACCAGGACTACACTGGGTAAATATTATAATAATTGCTATTTTGTTATGAAAAATTCTTAAAAATTACAAAAGCCTTCCAGCCATTTGAAATATTATTGTATAAGAGAATGTTACATGGTCTTTGTGTACCCTTTTAAAATAACTAGTGACTTTACCATTATGCAGACATTTAAGAATAAGTTATTTCTCATAATTGAGTGTAATGGAATGGACTGTCAGTTATTATTTTGTATAGCAACCTGAAACACTTGTTTTTTTTAATAAAAAAATACTGCTAGTATCCCAGCTATTGATATTCTGTTAATTTTTAAATTTCCAAATATGCTTTGGTTCACAGAATTTGTTTATTTTTGAGAACTTGCTAGATCTGAAGCATAAATATTCATTTCCTGTTGAAGTTGAGGTGAGTAATAGTTCTGTGCTTTATTGTAATACAGTGAAAAAGTTCATTGTTTTAATACTACGCAATCATTGAATAGTGCTGTATGTATGTGTGTTACATTGAGAGAAATTATGCTGTTTGAAAGCATGACAAATATAGGTGGAGACCTCTGACCCTGCAGAACCTTATGTAGTTTGCGTAATAATCTTGGTGCCTCTAGAAAATCCCAAATACAAGGCAAGAAAAGCACAACTGTGATGTACAACTTTAATGTATTGTTTTGGCAGATTTATCCCAAAGAAAAATCCTCACTTGTGTCATTAGATCAGCTGATGTGATATATTCTGTAACACTGATTACTAGCATTTATAAGTTGGAACTCCTGTTTATTTTAAATTGGTTCAAAAGCTATGTTATAAATCTAGAGTTTGCTTGGTAGTAAATATAATTCTCTAATCTTTTTGTAAAAGATACTTAAAATAGAACTCTTATTTTTATCAGCTAATTTTTTAAATAGCAATTTTAACTAATTTCAAAGCTCATATTTGTGTTGGTGTTGTAGGTGCCCATGGAAAGGAAGAAAAGGTATATTACTATTCGGAAGGAAGCCAGGGAGGCAGTAAATAAAGATTCAGGTATGGCACGAATGTAGAATGATTTAAAAAACCACTCTTTTTTTTTCTGTAAACATATAATTCATCATTGTACTTACATAGAATGTGCAGATTTTAATAGAGATGCATCTAGAAAAAACTGATAAATTTTTCACTTCTAAATTTCAGCTCTGCAGGTGGCAGTGCCTGTGCAACTTTTGACTTTGTGAGGCTTCATAGCTATTTTTTCAGTAATTAGAGTATAATCATATAAAGCAGCGTTTCTCAGACTATGGGTTGCGACCCCCAGAAGGGTCACGAGCAACTTAGGCGGGGGTCACAGCTGGATTCGTTTTTTCCCAAAGGGGGGGGGGGGGGGGCGAGGCCCCCCCCCCGGCAAGCTGCGCAGTGTGGCCGGGGCCATGGGACTCCAGGAGCGCAGCTCAGCTGCAGGAGGAGGGAAGGTGGTGGGAGAGTGAGGCTGGTGCAGGAGCAGACACAGTAGGGGTCGGCCGGAGCACGGCTGCTGGGTGACCGAATGCTTCTCCACCTGGGAGAGGGACGGGTCCCTCAGGCAGCAGGCTGGGGGATTGGGTCAGGGCAGAGGATCTGGAGGTAAATAAGGGCACATGGGGGGCAGAGGAGAGGATGAACCAAAGAGAGAGATAGCAGAAAAGAGGCACAAAGGAGAAAGAGACGGGGGAAGGAGCCTGCAGGGGAGAAGGGGGTTGAGGACAGCAAACACCTTGAAGGAACCCCAGGAGGGCAAGGAGTCTGGTGAGAAGTGGGGAGGAAGTGACTCAGGGCAGTGAGGGTGAGGGGACACACAAATTCATTTAGCATTTTCGGGGTCGTGGTATCACAAAGTTTGAGAACCCCTGATATAAGGTATTATTTCCTTCCGCTTTCTCAACAGCCTTAAGCAGGCGAAGAACTGTATAAGAATTGCTAACTTACAATGCATTTTTGCATTTTGACATGTTTGCTAAATGGTTTTCAAATATTTTCCCACTCCACTGTGTTTTGTTTTTCTGGGGAAGTGATCCATTCCATGCCTTTCTAATTATATTAAAGTGCAAGAAACTTTGAAAAACTAATAGGTACAAATGTGTAGACTATTTGTTACATCTGTGGAGGAATAATACCAAGAAAGAGACCAACTTCACCGTATTTATTAACAAACTTGTGTGTTATTGTGAAACCTGGACAGGAGACCACCTTTGTAAAAATGCCAGTGATGTGCTCAATACGGATTCTATGTGCAAATAAAAGACACTGTACCTGGTCTAGCTTTCATTAGAATACTACTTAGCTTAAGCAACCAAATTTTGTTGTTTTTCTTGAGTAGTTACTAAAAACAGTTTTCATTCTAATTAGTGTTTTGATTAACAATATATTATTTTTCTTGTTTAGATGAGCCTCAGTATTTGCCTTCTGCATCATATATGGTGGATAGCAGTCTCAGTGAAGAAATGAGCCAATTTGATTTCTCAACTGGAGTTCAAAGTTTTTCTTACGGTTCGCAAGACCCTACAGCTACCAGTATACACTACAGGAAAAAGGTAATTGAAGTTTTATACTGCACAGAGGAAATAGAGTATCAGTAGTCTAAAACTCAGGTTTCATGTTGAGTTGTCTCTACAGGTTATTCTGTTTTTAATGAGAGGCTTGAGGCATCAGAGTAAGTATTTTTGTTATTAATCTGAGTCCCTTTATTAACTTAATCTTACTTTAATTTGAATGGTGAGACTTGGTCACTGAGACAGAGGCCTTGCATTGTTGAAGGTAACTACAGTACAGAATTTCTAATATCTGAATCTAATTACAAAGAAAAATTGGTCACTAAATTAGTTTTAGAAGTATCTTATAATATAGGTTAAAGGGCCACTGCCATTTGTAGTTTTCTGAATTTAACTAGATTAGAAGTGGTTATATTATGTACATTTGTGCCTCAGTTCCCTTACAATTTTTTTAAATAGTTACAGTTTCCTATTTTCCACTTCCTGCTTTACTGTTACTATATGAAAGAATCATAGAAACAACATTGGAAAATTAATGAATGACTATGTAGGAAAAAATCTTGGAACTGTTCATTTGGTATCGAATGTACACAAACTGAACAAGAGAGAGAGCAGTATTATTTGTTACTCTAATCTTGTGTGATGATATAGTGTCTTGTGTTGCTTACAACAGTATGTTCTTATATAAGCCTGACTTGACATTGACAGAGGCCTTTAACACTTAGATGAGTGGTTGTCGTATTGAAAGTAAGATTGTAAGAATCACCTTCAGTGTTTTAAAAATAGTGTTTATCCAGGTATCCGAAGTATTTAAAGCAAGATCTATCAAAATAATTATAATGTTATCTAATATCAGCCACCTCTTTTCATAATTTGGAGTGAGAAGGATATTTTAACAGTTGACTTAAATTGTATGGAACATGTCATAAACAACCTCAAAGAATTTTGATTTCTGCCTTTTTGTGATGGTGAAGCTAATTTTTGTATTTATTGTTTAATAAGATATTTTCTGGGAAGTATAATGGCTATGGCTGCCCTCACAGGAAAACAGCCTATGAATTCACCAGTGATTAATTATTTTACAAAAAGCTTGATTGGGAGTGAAATTTAGGAAAAATGCATAATTCTTGCGTGAAGTATATGGTGGTTGTGCACTCAGTTATGGAGTGGAAGTATAGCCTTATAGGTACCAGTTAATTTTATATTTCTGATTGTTGCTACCATATTATTTTATATATCTGAGTCAGTGACATGCAGCTGGCATCTTTAGACACAGAGATTTGGAGCTGTGCAAAATAGGTTGTTGTTTTTTTGGGGGAGAGGGCAGGAATTTTGGTTTGAATAACCAATTTGTTCTTTTGCTTATTTAAATACTATTGAATACAATTTTATTGTTGTAATTCAGTTGTATATCAGGAAATCAGCATGAAAGAACAGTATAGTTAAGATTTCTAAAAATGGTATATAAATCTCCTCATGATTAACTGGGTCTCCTTATTGTGACAGGAAGTCACAGAATCCATGGATCCAGATGATCTGATGGAACTAGAGATGGATGAGCTCAATCAGCATGAATGTATGGCCTCTATGACGACCCTGATTAAACATATGCAAAGAAATCATATTACACCCAAAGTAGATGAGGTCAGTATTGGTTCATATCTTAGTATCTCTCTATTTTAAGGATGGTTAAGTGTTGGAATAGGTTGCTAATTGAGATCGTGGAATCCTTGTCATCATCCTTGTCAACAAGTTAGACTGGGATGGGCAATAAAAAAGGGGGGGGGCCACTTCAAAAATTTCTGAAGTGGCCCCAGGTGACATTGGATGGGGCATCGCCCTAGATGACCAGGAGACTTCTCATGCTCCCCCACCCACAGACCCTGATTGGCCTGGAGGTGGGGGAGTGGCAGGGTGATCACGGGCTGGATCCACCAGTTTGGCGGGCTGCATTCAGCCCATGGAGGCCCATTTGCCCACCCCTGGGTTAGACAAATATCTGACAGGAATGATCTGGATGTTAGGCTTAGTTGTGACTCGAGGCAGGATGGATTAGATGACCTTGCAAAGTCCCTACCAGTTCTATATTTCTATGATTTCTTAACCTCAAGAAAGGGGGTTATAATTAAAATCTTGTTTATAGCCTTTGTTTCTATCAGTCCATAGTGTAATAGAATAAAACCTGTGGCAGTTTTGAATTATAAGTATTTAAAGTAATCTATTTAATTTTGATTTCAGGGAATAGTTCCACCAGACCTTCCTCCATGGATGAAGTTTATACATGGCAAATTGGGGAATCCATCAGTGCCACTAAATATTCGCCTCTTCTTAGCAAAACTCATTATTAATACTGAGGAAGTGAGTAGTTTTTATAAAAAATTGTATCATGTTCTGTCTCTCTAGTAAAATATTATTTTACACTGATTACAAGTTCAGCTGTATAACCTTTTCAGAACAAAAACCTACGCCAGCTAAACTTCTCCTGGTTACTTGAAGGGAAGGCATTCCGGGTTTAAGCTTCATCTGAAAATTAAATGATGTTAGTTGGTTCAAAAGAGTTTTAACAACTCCTGTGAACCAAAACTTCTGAGTTGTGTGCGGCTCTAATTGCAACTGAATATAAAGCTGAATAGTCCTTGAACAAGGCTTTTGGTGACTATGTGGAAATATTCTTTCTTCCTCTGTTTCAAGTGTAAAATGTTTCAATCCTACTTCAGCTTGTCTCTTTAAAACAGAGTATTCTTGATCAAATGAATCATACTGTTCATACATAATACATACATTATGTATCAAATACTATGTGTTGAAGCTGATAATTCATTGAATTTCAGCAGTCAACACTGTTTTCAAAATAGTTTAGTACCAGCCTGATGACACACAGATTTTTACATTAAAAATTATTTGAGAAATATTTGTATGCGCCTGTGCAAGTGTGCATGAGCTTGGTTACTTGCTTCATTCTGCATGGGTAAGTCATTTTTCTGACTTCCATCAAAGAGACTTAGTCTGTGTCTAGACTGGCAAGTTTTTCCGGAAAATCAGCAGCTTTTCCGGAAAAACTTGCCAGCTGTCTACTCTGGCCGCTTGAATTTCCGGAAAAGCACTGACGATCTCATGTAAGATCGTCAGTGCTTTTCCGGAAATACTATGCTGCTCCCGTTCGGGCAAAAGTCTTTTTCCGGAAGACTTTTGCGCAAAAGGGCCAGTGTAGACAGCACAGTACTGTTTTCCACAAAAAAGCCCCGATTGCGAAAATGGCGAAAAAATGCTTTTGCGGAAAAGCATCCTGCCAATCTAGATGCGCTTTTCCGAAAATGCTTTTAACGGAAAACTTTTCCGTTAAAAGCATTTTCGGAAAATCATGCCAGTGTAGACGTAGCCTATGGGTATGGGAAGCTGGTAGATGGGCTCCATCAGAAGAAACCATGTTCTGTGGTAATAATGGCAAACTTGACTTTTGTGCACCGAAAAACAAATGGGGTATGTAGCTAATTGATCAATGGGAAAATTTTCTTTAGGAGCTTTTGAAATTACAATCATGATGCTTCATACAATGTTAAAAATAGCCTTCTCTGTATGGTTTTTGCCTAAATGTCCAGTCTCAACTAATGGCAATTATACAACAGGGGATGGACCACTTAATAATTTTCCTGTTCATTCTCTCTGAAGTAGTCAACAGTAACCCCTGTTGGAAAACAGAATGATTTGCCAGATGGACTATTGGCATGACCTGATATGGTCATGTATATGTTTTTAGTAAAAAGTAGCTATTCCTGTAACAGTGTGATTCATAAATGCTCCTTGCATAGTAGGTTTGTATAGATGACTATTCTTTATGTCTCCTAGGTTTTCCGACCTTATGCAAAGCAATGGCTTGGTCCCTTACTGCAGCTTGTTGTTTCTGGGGAGAATGGAGGAGAAGGAATTCATTACATGGTCGTGGAAATAGTAGTTACTCTGCTTTCCTGGACCAGTGTATCTGTTCCCAAAGTAAGGAAATGTGGAACATACAGGAATGTGAATGGGTAACAATTAACTGGTCACCCTTACTGGGCGATGCTTATGAGAACTGGTTAATTGGTACTCAGGCGTAGAAGCCAGGCACCTCAAGTGCAGAGCGTGGAGTGGGGAGGGGAGTCAGGAGCGGGATCCTGCTTAATTGTTTAACTGGTTAAAGCTAAGGTTTAACTGATTAACTGGGATTTTACATCTCTGATGGAAACAGTCACTAGCTTGATTGAGAGCACATTTTATTTAGAATATCTCCAAGTTCAGTCCTCACTGGGATTTGGAGGTCTGTTGCACTGAGAATTTGAAAATTGGGTGATACCTTTTCCATGCCACAAATCCTTAACCATTGTGTTCTCATCTAGCACCATCATTACTCTACAGTTAATTTGCATGGAGAAATTCCATTGGTTGTATGAGGGACACTGCACAGATGGTATAATACTTGGTTCAGTTGCTATAGCTCAAAGTATGGACTTTCCCCTAATGTTTTCATAACAAGATGGAGGGACTCTCATACATGAAGTTATTAAAGTTCTGGTGAATTTGACTTCCCTAGAATATCCTTGTGAACACTGATGGTAATCTCGTGATAAATATTGTGTTAGCATAATTAAGTCATATTTTAAACAATAAAGTGGTGGAGAACGAAAGCATTCTATGTGTTCAGATTAAGAACAAAAATATGGTTTTATACAGAGTTACCGTGTTGTTTTTTGTTCTCTTTCCTGCTAGGGGAACATTAAAGATGAGATATTGGCCAACAGATTACTTGAATTCTTGATGAAGAACGTATTTCATCAGAAAAGAGCAGTGTTCAGACACAACTTGGAAATTTTAAAGACTGTTGTGGAGTGCTGGAAGGACTGTCTTTCCATACCATACAGGTAGTATTTCTCAGTAGAAAAAGACTATAGGGACAATGTGAACTAAGCTCTTCTGAATGAAAGAGTTATCCCAGTGGCTTTCAAACTGTGATCACTAGCAACTTACAGGTGGTCTGAGGACTTGGTCCTTTCACACAGTAGTGAGATATCTGTCAGTCCTCAGGTGATAATGCTTCCTGCTAACAGTAGCTCAGTCCAGAATTGTACAAGGTTTTTAGTGGCTTTTTGACCACCTAATCATTTTTTTAAAACAAACCGTCTTAGTGCTCTAGCCAGCTACTTACTCACTTGGTGGAAAATTCACCTACATTTCTCCCTGTTGTCAACACCAAAATTGCAGAGGCAACAAACACACACAATGCATGCTGCAAAGTGTCTTGGAGAGATGACAGGTACAACAGGTAGTAGGCAATGTGAGAGCAGAAGGTAAGAGAAACTACTGAGAGGATTTTTTTTTTTTTGTGCAATTGAGTTAGAATCTGGCGATGTTTAGTCCTTGAGGGTAGAATTCAGAAATCAAAGGATGGAAGTTGTGTAGTGGGGGATAATTGTGAGGGCTTGTGAACATGTTATACTATATGTGCTCTCAATAAAGTACAGTTCATGTAGCCACTTTCACCAGGTTTGTACTGTCCTAAGCATGTGCTGTCATGTGCACTTGTTTCTTTTTCTTTATATCCTTCTGCTGCAGGTTAATATTTGAACAGTTTTCTGGTGGAGATCCTGATACAAAGGACAACTCAGTGGGAATTCAGTTGTTAGGTATTGTTCTTGCTAACAACTTGTCTCCCTATGATGCAAAATGTGAAATAGACAGCATGAGGTGAGAAGCACATCGGTTTGGGGAATTAATTTTTCATTATAAGCCTTTCAATAAACTGACCAAGAAGGTTGTTGGCAGCATGGAGGGTAGGATTTGGAATCCTCATCTCTTGGACCACTTTGTCTCTTTCTGGCTCCACCACTACCTCTAAGCATGTCTATCTAGCAGGTTGATACAGCTAAGTCTGAAGGTGTTTCTTACTTTAGGAGGCGAAGTGGCGAAGGTCTAAATATATCTGCACTTGATGCCATTGTGATCCCTGCCCTTAAAATTGTTGAACTCTGTGGCACAGAGTGGAATCAGGATTGGGCAAAACATTCCAGATGCCTTTGTAACCAGAAATTCAAAGGGGAAGTGTTGTGGCCCTGTGAGACCTTCATGGATATGGGATGTTAGTGTAATAGTTCACTGTATTACAAAGACTGTAATTAAGACTGAATGTAAATTCATGAAATGGAGAAGAGCAATGAATATTTCTAGAATTTCTTAGATGTCTGATTTTAAAGGAAAATCAAATACTTAGTAGATTAGTGGATCACATCTGATTTTGTTTGTATGCTAGATACTTTCAAGCTCTGGCCAATAATATGTCCTTAATAAGGTATAAGGAAGTTTATGCAGCAGCAGCAGAAGTGATGGGACTTATTCTTCGATATATGGCTGAAAAGGAAAATGTGAGTGTATTACATTGTATCTTTTATCCTTATTGTATTAGACTGTTTTATCTGTAAGTCTAAACTAAAATAAGAGAATAGTAAATGTAATGAGTCTTCCACAGAAGTTAGGGTACTTCTACACTACAGCGTTAATTAGAGTTAACTTAATTCAAAATAGTTAATTCGAATTAAGCTAATTCAAATTAACGCATCTACACACAAAGCCTATTTCGAAATAGCGTTTTGCTATTTCGAAATAATGTGTTCACACTGAGTGGACCCTGAACCGAAGTTAAGGCTGGTCAGAACTAGTGCTGGCAGAGCATCAGGTTAAGACTTAGTGGGTGGGGCTGCTGCCTGAGGCTAACAGAGCTCCGTGCTTAAAGGGATCCTACCTCCCACCCCGGACAGACAGTTCTCAGGATTCCCCGCTTGCTTGTCTACCTCGATGAGGGACAGCAAAGCAGTCCTGTCTTGGAGTGCCCTGAGTGCCCGCACTCGGGACACCACAGCACTCGGCCACATGGAGCCAGAGCTGCCCCTGGGCACGGTGGTGTGTCTCGTGGGGTTATTGCCATCAGCCCGGCTGCACTTGCTGCAGGCTGCCATCTGGGGGGTCTATCCAGGGGGCTGTCAGGATCCAGGAGGCCCTGCGAGAGAGCATCCACCCTGAGGAGCCCTCAGCCACCCCAGTCCTCCCCACACGGGGCTCATGTCCCATTCCTCCCTCACGTTCTTCCACTTACCCCTTCCTAGCCCCCCTTCCTGATGTCAAACAAAAGACACGTGTTCAAAAATAAAAACTGTGTTTATTGAACAAAACTGGGGGGGGATGAACCTCTGGGGAGACTGGGAAAAGGAGGTGGGAGAGGGGAGGCGGAAACCTGGGAGGAGGAAGCTGGAAGGGGGAAGCACGGGGGAGGGGAAGCTCAGGGCCCAGGGTTGGGGGTCTCGGCAGACCAACTTGATTTTCATGCAAACCTGCTCCTGGGTTCGCATTTGGCCTTTGGTGGCCACGCTGGTAGCTATCTTGCCATAGATGGCCGCATTCCTCCATCTAGTGTGGAGATCATGGACATTGGGGGCATCCCCCCAAAACTTAAATAAGGTCCATGATCTCCACCCTGGACCAGGAAGGCGCCTGCCTTCTCTGGGCCCTGGCAGGCTCCTGGGAGCTGGTGGACTGCTCCTGGGGAGTGGTGGAGGGCTGGCTGCCAGTGGCTTGCTTGCTCATGTTTTGGGATCACTGGGTCAGGGGCCCCGCTGGCCACTGCTGGCTCTGGGCTGGCAGGCTTGGAGCTGGCACAAGCATTGTGGTCAGAGTCTACCCCTTTAATGGCTCTGGGGCTGGGGGAGAGGAGAGTAAGTTTTCTTGGTTGTGCCCAGAGTGGCCACCAGGGTTCCCTGGAAGGGCTGGAGGTCTCCTATTTCAAATAAAGTGTCTATACAGCACTTAATTTGAAATAGCTATTTCGAATTTGGCATTACTCCTCGTAGAATGAGGTTTACCAAATTCGAATTAAGCGCTCCGCTATTTCGAATTAATTTCGAAATAGCAGTTTGCATGTATAGACGCTGTTAAAGTTAATTCAAAATAACAGCTGTTATTTCAAATTAACTTTGCAGTGTAGACATACCCTTAGGCAGTAGCAGAAGATGCTTTCACTTGAGGATCAGAATTCAAGACTAAATCAGCACATTGGGAACACTTTGTCTCAATACCTATCAATACCTGTGCTATCAACTTCCTGTCTTTGACCCTAGCAGTGAATGGATGTGCGGGGGAGCTGTGTTCACCTCTTTTTTTTTCTGCCAGTGGTACTGACACACTATGAATATAATGTTAACGATATGTGATTCTCAGAGCTCTATTTGATATAAGATTTCTGGGAACTTGAAAATAGGGGCTTATAATGAAAATGCTTTCTTAACTGCTACTCTTGGACTGTTACTGTGGTGCTCCAGTAAAGCTGGTCTTTAGCTCTCTTCCTCTGTTCTGTACATTCCATTTTTGTTCATCCTTTCTCATTCAGTTGGGTGCATGACGTTCTTACATACAGGAGCTCTGCTAAGCAGGCAAGCTATGTTTCATCCACATATATTGTATTATTCCTGTGAATTGTCATAAATGTCAAGATTAAGCCTTTGAAGTTTCACTGTAACTTAAAATATTCCCCATGTAATAGTATTATTACATTTTGAGTATTCCTGTGTTTCTGGTGTTGGCATTTGTTTAATGCTAAAATGTTTCTGATCTTTCAGATATTTGAGGGTCCAGTTTATGACTGTGTCATAAAACAGTTAAAACAGCATCAAAGCACCAGAGATGACAAGTTTATTATGTGTTTAAATAAAGTGGCAAAGAACTTTCCTCCTCTTGCTGACAGGTATAGTGAGATCATATGATACGCTGTATATAGAAAAATCATCATCTTTATAGAACCAATTGTGCAGTAACTGAGGGGGCTGTGGACAGATTTCATTACTCATAATGGGGAGCACAAAAGGAAAAGTTTGGATACCACTGTAATATAATGGTTTTTTTGTTTTTGCTTTATGGACACCTGGTCATGTAAAGGTTTATGAACACAGTATTCTTCTTGATACCAAAACTTCATGGTGTTCTGAAAACATATTGTCTGGAGGTAGTGATGTACCGTGCAGAAGAGATTACTGATCTCTACTTACAACTAAAAAGTAAAGATTTTATCCAAGTCATGAGTCACAGGTAAGAGGGCATGTTACCAAGGCACAATCCTCTTAGCAACATGGCCGCATAGTATAACTTTTATATCATTGTGTTTTTCTAGTAACGAAGGAAGTTTACATTCCATGTATATTTGCAGTTTGACGGTTTGGGGTTTTGTTTTTTTCTTTTGGAGAGAGAGATCCTGGTTCTCCTCTTTGAGCAAATGTAGATTAGAAAATCTGGCAGGGTTTTTCTGCTCCTCCTATAGAAGTTGAAAACTGTGTTTACTATAGCTTTTTTCTTTAGTCAAACTGTGAAATCCTGACATGGTGAAATCAATGGCAAAATTCCCATAAAGTTCAGTGGGACCAGGATTTCATCCTTAACGAGTAGTCAGTTTGGTTAGACTGATAATGCAATATGAAATTGTTAAAGATCGTCTCATCTGAAGAAGTGGGTTATGCTCATGAAAACTTATGCTACTATATATATATATTTGTTGGTCTCTAAAGGTATGTCTACACCAGGCAGTTATTTGGAAGTAACAAGATGAGTGTCCACACTACCAGGCTTGTTATTTCTAAATAACAACTCCTGCTTGTGAAGAGGAATAGCATTATTTCAAAATGGTTATTTCAGGAGTTATTTTGAAATAACTTAATTTGAAATAATTTCCCAGTGTAGACATGCCTGAAGGTGCCATAGGACTACTTGTTTTGAAATTACTAAATGTTATTTTAATGTTCTGCTGTATGCATAACTATAAATAGAATAATTAAACCGATGCAATTGATCTTGTCTCTATTAGAGATGATGAAAGGCAGAGAGTGTGTTTGGATATCTTATACAAGATGATACCTAAGCTGAAACCACTAGAACTAAGAGAACTTCTTCCTGGAATAACAGGATTCATCTCTCACCCCTCTCCAGTATGTCGGGAACGCATGTATGACATCCTGATGTGGATTTATGATAACTACAGGTATGGTTTTAGTTGCAAGTACTGTCTTCCAACTGGATAAGATCAATTACATGAAAATGATCTTAATAGTTCCTTTCCCTGTGTAAAAAGTGAGAGAAAGGTATTATCACGTAAGTTCTAATTTTCTTCTTGATACAGACCTACAGAAACTCACTTAAACTTGTCTATTTTCATTTCCCCATCTGTTAAATGGGAATTATAATTATGTAGTTCTAGTCATGGTCCTTATTGTATTCCACTGTGTTTTACCCATGCACCCAGAGCCAGAGAATTTTAAATTAGCATCCGTTGGTCTGTGCATGCACCTGGCTCACCTCCTACCTCTGACAGAGAAGATCATGGATCGGGAGGACTGCCCATCTCTCCAGTCCCATCTCTTCTCTGTCTGGTCTGGGTTGGAACCTCTAATTTCCATAGTTGTGGATTTGTCCTACAAGATAAGATTTAGATTTGGTATTGTTAGTAGTTGTCATAGCTGTTCCCCACTCTGGTATTCTGAGTGCAGCAGGCGGCCCCTCAAGAGACCTTAAATACCTTGCCTCTGCAGGCTTCTGCTTACAAAAACTCCCCAAGGTCACAGATTTCCTGCGCTTGGGAGATTGCTGCCACCAGTAAGTGTAAAAACTCCTCCTGAAACCCAGGAAGAAGCACTTGAAGTTTTTTTTAGAGGAGTATCATAACCTCTTTTACCACAAGAGAGTTTAAAAAAGAAAAAAAAATGCAATCTCTGATAGCTGACTTCACAGTCTAAGCAGGCACACGCACAGACGTCCTGTTACCTTCCAGGACACAAGAATCAAATCATTGCCTTAAAAAGGTGATTTTATTAACAGAACAAAAAAAAATACTTGACAAATCATACTTGGTTGCTAGGTGTTACAGAGCAACTGAGAAAAGAATAGATTAAAACACTGAGAAACATAGTATCTCTGGGCTACAGCTTACATACAGTGAATGGGGAAGGAGGGTACACATGGAATTAGAGCAGAGAAGTTAATCAAACAACAAAACAAAGAAAATAACCTGATCGTGACTAAATATATATTTTCCTCCTATTTATTTATAATCCATTTCAAGGCCAATCCATTCCCATGCCCAATATTCCTTGTAGGCATGGTAATTCTGTCTGATTGACTCCTAGTTTAACTCCACAAAGAGAGCAGCAAGTAGGTATATTTCTTCAATTCAGATTTTAGCACTGTATCCTATCCCATTGGTTCTCCTGGTTCCCTGCCCAATGCCTGTAGCTACCGGAGTTTAACCCTTTAGTCACCGAGTGCTGGCTAATACTCCTAGAACTCATCACACTAGTTCTAACAACTTGTCAGTTTAGTGTTTAATAGATTTCTTAAGTATTAGATTTAGGTTTTTTGAGAGAATCCTTCCCTTTTTGGATACTTGGACCATGCTGCAGGCTTCAAACTATGCACTTGCTGCCCACAATCATTTTTGATCATCGATGCCCACCAGTGTTTCCTTGGAGAAGTTTGTATCCTGATGAATTATAAAATCTGCCTGACATTCCTCTGTAGTCCACTAGTCCGCTGAAGAGATCCACTTCATGGATACCATAGTGCAAATAAGTGATAGTCACTTAAACACCACCTTATACTGGAACCTACTGACTGCTAGCTATACTTACCTGCATACCTCCAGCTTCCATCTAGGACACATCACATGATCCATTGTCTATAGCTAAGCCCCAAGATACAGCTGGATTTGTTCCAGTCCCTTAGAGACAAAGATCTCTAAGATCTTTAGCAAGATCTTTAGCAAGCATTCTTAGAACTACGGTACTCACCTGGGGAAGTGATGTCTCCTCTTCTCAGTTCTATTGCTTATATTCTTGCACCATCCCCCAAGCATTGATTGTCAATCACTGCAGTGAAAAAACATAGGGACTTTCACTCGGAGAAGAAGAGAAAGTTACTGATTTGTTATTGGAAATTCTTTGAGATGTGTCATCCCTATGTGTATTCCACTATTCATCCTCCTTCTGTGCTTCAGAACTTCTCTTGTTTATGGCAAAGAAGGAACTGAAAAGACAGTTTTTTAGCCCTGCCCTTAATCCTATTGGTCACAGGCATTAAGTAAGCCAGTGTATATGCTAGGCCAATGTGACTCTACTTTCAAATTCTCTGGGTCTGGGAGCATTGTGCACATGAGTAAACACACAGTAGAATACAGATGGGCACCACGCAGCTCAAAGAACCTCCACTTACAGATCAGTAACTTTCTCTCACCTGTCATGGATTTTGTGAATTATTTAATATTTTAAAGCACTTTGAGACTAAGTGCTAAGTTTGATTTATTATAGGAAATTGGTCTTATTTCACACCCTATTACTACATTCCTTTGCAGTGTATTTCTGCCTTCTATTAAATTTTCATAGGGTAAAGAAAAGAGCTTGCCTTCTGTTGGGGAAAAAGATCACCCGCACCTTCAAGTAGTGTTTAGTGCTAAGAATTCATTCTGGCAAAACACTCCATTGGGAATTGGGAATACCTTGCAGAACTGAACACAAAAAATGTTATTTCTGGCCAGTAATTGCATATCTTCTCTGAAACATCAGTTGTATTGTTTCCAGCAGAAATTTCTGATGAGTAGCATTGCTTAGTTTCTTTCTACCTCTTCCTTCAAAAACAAAGAATCTAAAATACAATCACTCTAGATGACTCTTCTTCATCAATCTTGGGATCATGTGTCTGCTGGCCACTTACACTGCAGTGAAATCACAGCTATAAAACAACAAAATTTAGTATCTAGCCAAAATCAGTGCTATACCTTCTTCTTGAGTTTAATCTCTCCAACTACACTGCAATAAAAAGCTGTATAAACCCATGTTTCTGCTAGAGTTTTGCAGTGGGGAAGCTAACATTCTTTTTAGTTATGTGTCCAAAATACAAAACAAATCATTTTGGGACAGTGAAGGCAGCATGTATAAGCCACGTGCACTGCAGTGAGGCCAAGTTGAGACTGTTTGGGTATGTGGCTTGATTTCTCCTTTTTTCCCCTTTTTGTTGCAAATTGTATGAGAGAGACGTCAGTAAGACTGTCTTTATTTTTTATTTCACATCAGGGATCCAGAAAGCCAAGGAGATGAAGATTCTCACGAAGTGTTTAAACTAGCAAAAGAAATGCTACTTCAGGGACTAATGGATGAAAACTCTGGACTACAGTAAGTTAGCACTCTGAATGCTATGATCAGTCATCTAAGATGATACTCTTGAATATGATTTAGTTTTGTTTTGTACATCATATTTGTAGGGGTTTTTAGGCTATTAAGCAGTAAACAGTATATGTAGTAGATACACCTCACTCAAAAATTTCATGTTTGTTTCTGAAAAGTGATCTCTTGTTTTTCCTTAATGTTTTTTTAATTGGAAGATATAGCTTTTTATATTTCAGTTTCTGATTATATTTCATGAAGAGGCTTGGCAACACTATTGCTATTTATCATGTTTGTTTATGGTCACCTAAGGGCTAATCCATTGTGAGGCCCAATTGAGCTAAACACTCTACAGGCGTAGGAGATGTCCCTGTCCTGAAGAGCTTACAGTCTAAATCAGCGTTTCTTAAAGAGGCAGTTGGAGGTGTGCCACGGAGAGAACAGAATAAAAAATGGCTGCCCTTAAAGGGACAAGCCTCCTTTTTGGGGGGGGAGCAGGGTCAACAACTTTACCCTGGGGGCTTTTTTTTCCCCTCATAAAAAAAAATATTGTTTGGTGTTCCTCGGTCTTAAAAAGTTTAAGAAACACTGGTCTAAATAGACAAGCAAGACATAAGGCTTGGAATGGAGTCTTGGAAGGAATGGAACACACATGCACAATAAACCTTGTGATGAAGTCAAAAGTCATATAAATGCACAATTATTTTTGGGGATTGTGGGTTTAGTTAGGAGGAGATATGATAAATGGAAAGGAAAGGGAGGTGAGGAAGACAAGACAGGGAAGGTGAGATGAAGAGGCTGTGAGGATGGAGGGACTGGGAGAGGGTTAGGGCAGAGAGTCTAACAACATTCAACAGTTTTGACTGGAATGTCCAAAAGTACCTGCTTTGGCTGCTTCTGCTTGAACCAGATGGAGCCTCTGGCTGACTGCTCTCTGCAGTTCTCTCCCAAAGACATGTGCCTTCCTGCCCTTCCAACATCTTCTGGGTTCTAGAATCCCCAGACTGGGCATAGTCTTCATTATACATTTCTGAGACTGGGGCATGGTGGGGGGAGAGGTGGCTTTGGATGGGCCACATTTTATCCAATCCCATTCCAGACTTTGGCATCTTTTTGTCCTAGCTTCTGATACGATATCACTAACTGTGACAAATTTGGCAAATACAGACAATAGTATAAACTTTTAAAAGTACAGTAGAGCCTCATTTTACTGGTTTAATTGGGACTGGGGCCAGATCAAGTAATCAAAATACTAGATAAGTTGGACAGTGTAAAAATATGATGCAATCAAGTGGCCTTAGAGGATATATCCCATTTCTGATCCTGTAGTCCTGGTTGTTGAGTAAATGCGGTGAGTTGGTTAAGGGAGGGTCTTATAAATGAGGTTCTATTGTATAAAATTAACAAAAGGTCAACATTTTAGGAAGTATGTATGTATTCTATTCTGTTTCATTATGTTTAGCTGAAATATTGAGAATCAGAAAAAATGTTAACTGGCACCTGGCCTGACCAGAGCAGCCTGATGTGGTGGACCATGCCTGGCTGGGCTAGAACATCCCTCTGCCGATGGCGTGGTGCAGTGGGCCCTGCCTGGCCCGGCCCACTGCACCATGCCATGGGCAGGGAGCTTCTCCAACAGCCTGTTGTCCATGGTGGGCTGGTTAACCTATTAAAACATATAGTTTAACCAGTTAACATTTTAAATGGGATTTTACATTCCGACTTTGTCTAAAGCCTATTAAGTCAATGGGAGCCCTAAAGCAGTAAGTATATTTGGTTCATATTAGACTTAATCCTATATTAATATAAAACAGTTCTTATGCCAGGGTACGTCTACACTAGCTTGTTAGTTTGAGCTAGGTAGGGTAATTAGGACAAGCGGGCACGGAGTTCGGACTAAGGGGGATTTAAAAATGGCGGCGCCCGAGAAAATGCATACGAAGCACAGGATATTTAAATCCCGGGCTTCATTTGCAACTCCGCTTGCCCTAAGTACCCTACCTAGCTCAAACTAACGAGCTAGTGTAGACGTACCCCGAGCACTTTTGATCTATAAAAATAAATTAGATCTGATGTTGGAGGAAATTTTTGTTTTCCTCTTTTATAGTGAAATCCAATAGGAAAAAAGGTGTGTTTAAATGTCTTTGCCCACAATCTCTCTTTTGTTTGGATGAAAATGAGTTAATAATAATAAGTAAAATTCAAACTGAGAAAATATAAAACAATTCTTGTGACCGTATTAAAGCTTTTAATATCATTTAGATGAACTTCAGATTGGGGGTGGAGAGAGGAAAATGAGATGGTTAACCTAAGCCAGTGTGACTGGTTGAGGTAAAGAAGTGAGAAATAAATAACTTGAGAACTAATCCTTCTTACAGATTTTGTTATTCATTTAAAAAAAAAACTTGGAAGTTTTAAAGTCAAGCCTTATGTAACTCTATAGTGTTCCATTTGTTGGTTTCCAAATATGTCTCTTCTCTCTCTTTACAGATTGATTGTTAGGAATTTTTGGAGTGATGAAACTAGGTTACCTACAAATACCCTCGATCGTATGTTGTCTTTGTTAAATTCCTTATACTCTACCAAGATAGAAACCCAGTATTTGAGTTTAGCGACGAATTTTCTGCTTGAAATGACCAGAAAGAGCCCAGATTATTCTAGAAAAATATTTGAGCATCCACTTTCTGAATGCAAATTTCAGGTAAATTATAACTTTGTGTAATACTTTGTGCAGCAGTGTCTAGTTATCAGTGTAGTAATACCTTAGCAAGAGTTAAACAGAGCTGTAATAATGAAGGAGACTTGAACGTGTGCTCTGTGCTATAAAGATAACAGCTGAGATAGTTATGGGATATTCAAATTCTTAGAAGTTTGATATTTATTTTAGGAAAATAACATTTCAAATGTAAAGTTTTTTTTATTTTAAAAAACCAAAGATAATTATAACAGAAGTGATTATTACATATGTTGTATGCTAATTGTCAGAGATCCTTTTGGTAGACAATGCATTGTATGCCTTAAATAAAAGGGCACCTATAGCTTGGAAAGATAAGTTAATAAAGAATCAAGATGATGGTTCAGGTGTTATCACAGCAGAATTTATGCTAAGTGACTGTTGTGTATTTGAACCAAGATCTTACACTGTTACTGAAATACAAACAGTTGTCATATGTTAAGGAGTCCAGTCAATGCTGAATTTAAAGAGGTAAATTACATATTAATAAGGCTGGATTAACTCTTCTGGGGCCCTGGGGGGCTAGTAGATTATGTAGGCCCCCACCAGGTTCTGGGCTGGAGACAAAAATGAGGGGTTCAGTATATGGGAAGGGGCTACAATGCTATGGGGTCTGGGAGCGAGTGGGAGGTGTAGGTTCTTGGGAGGTAGGATACAGGAGCTGTGTGGGGGGTCTAGATGTGGGAGTGGAGTGGAGGATTGGGGAATCTTACCTGGTGCGTCTCCCACTTGGTGGGCGAGAACAAATGGTTCCATGCTACCGTGCACTTCCATTGACTGGTGTGTGGCAGTAGCAGGGGAAGTGGCAGGGGAAAAGCCTGCAGGTGTGTGCAGGGATATAGAGCTTCTCTGCAGTCATGGTGATGTGGCTGGAAAGGGTGAGGGAACAGCAGCATGTAGTACTGCCTCTCTCATCCATTAGGCAGAGCCAGCCAGGAATACAGCCTGGGATCCTGGGCTTCAGCCCCTAAAGCCTCTTTTATAATCCAGCCCTGGATACTAGCCATTTTATTTCACTGCTGGAAAAAGTTTCAATTCATTTTGCTTTTACTATGATCTTTTTACATACATAGGACTTCACTATTGATTCCAACTGGCGTTACCGAAGTACTGTTCTCACACCAATGTTTGTGGAGACTCAAGCTTCCCAAAGTGCCAAGAGGAATCGGTCTCAAGAAGGATCCCTTTCAACTCATGGGTCACTAGGTGGTCAAGTGAGGGCTACCCAACAGCAGTATGAGTTTACACCAACACAGAATGTCAGTAAGTACAGATGACCATGTGCTGGAGCTCTCCAGTTTCCCAAAGAAACAATTCTGCTTCCTTTTGTGTATACTTCTTTTGAAACAAAGGTACAAGTGAATATAATGCTTTCTTTTCTAATCTAAACACTAGCCAGTTGTAAATTGAAGTATGTTAGGGTATGTCTACACTACCACCCTAGTTCGAACTAGGGTGGTAATGTAGGCAACCGGAGTTGCAAATGAAGCCTGGGAAATACCCTGTGTAGACATACCCTTATTGATTTGTTCCAATTCAAAAATAGTAACCCCTGGACGCTTTCTTTCCTTCGGTCTATTTTTTTAAAGTATCATATCCAGTTTAAAAGATTGGCTGCTTCTTCGAGTGCTTGTTCATGTTGATTCCAAGCAGGTCACAAGCACGAGTGTTGGAAACTTTTTCCCCTAGCAGCTACTGTAGGGAGCAGCTCCCCGCTTGCTCCCACCCACCAAATTAGTGCATCTATACTACTGCCAACCCTAACTCCTCCCTCAGTTCCTTCTTACCGTCCGTGATGGCATTGGAACCTCCAAGTTGTCATACCTTGGCAAGCTTCTAGTCCCTAGTGAATAGTGTTTCATCTTGTTTTCCTCCTTCAGTCGAAAAATCTTAAAAAGAAGTGGGCAAGTGCCCAAGGACTGTTAGTCCCTCTGGGGCGCTGGGGCATTCCTAACACCCCAGGCTTCAAGTCATGCACTGTATGTAAGTGGGCTATGCCTAACAGCAACTCACACAATATGTGTGTCTGCTGTTTAGGTGAAGAACACTGCACTGAGAAGTGCAAATCTGCAGGAATTTCAAGGACTGGAAGTGTAGGCTCCAGCAACTCTTCATGGAGGGGGTGCCGAAACTCCTCAGGCTGAGAAATTAGCACTGGGGCCAGCTTGCTGTGTAGCACCCTGGTCTCAGTGTGTGACACTGTGCCAAGAGCAGGTGCTGCCAAGGACTCCTGGTGCTAGAGCCCTCCAGTGCCAAAGACTACAGTGCCAAGGCACCAGTCCATTTCTCCGGTGCCACGTGGCAGAAAAGAGGGCAGAGGCAGATCACCTCATAAGTTACACCCGCAGCAGGGCCAGGCATGGTGTAAACAGTCCAGTGCAGGAAGTCCAGAACTTACCGTCAACTCAGGGGCATGGCCATTGAGTCCGACACATGGGCTTTCACCGGAACATACAAGTCCAATGCAAGTATTGAACTTGCCATCGATGCCCAACACCTATGAGGCTGCCCAGGACCTCATAGACATTTTGGAGACTGAGGCATCTAGGGTGCAGATTAAACCACTGGCATCGCTGAAACTACACCATTTGAGGGGCAAGCCCACTATGCTGTGACACCCACAGTCTCTGGAATAGTGATAGAAATGTAGCCGTGTTAGTCTGGTGTAGCTGAAGCAAAAAACAGGACTATGTAGCACTTTAAAGACTAACAAGATGGTTTATTAGGTGATGAGCTTTTGTGGGCCAGTCCCACTTCGTTCTTCCTCGTCCTCAGATGGGTCGCCTCTGCTGGCAGAGTGCACCACACCAGCAGCCCCAACAGATACTCTGTCACTGGGCTCCCAAGATGGGGGGAGATTCTCCAAGACCAGCACTGAGTTGAACCATGGTGCTCAGTGTTGAGGTTGCGTTTTTGGTCCTGGACCAGGTTGAGATCAAGAGGGAACCAGAACTGTTCCAGGTCTCGATTCTTCCGGTACCAGTCTAGGTCTCCAAGGGCATCCACTTGCACAGCACCGACACTAATACTGGTATCATCGGCAGCACATCGGTTCTCACAGAGTCGGAGTCTGACGCAGCGTCGATGTGTTCCTGATAGAGCCGCACTGACTGTAGATGTGAGCCCCCCACCCCTTCCCCCAGCACCATGGCAACCACAGTGGCTGCCCTCTATACAATGGCCCTTCTGTACACCCTGGGCATACCACCAGTCCCCGGGTGATGGTCTCTACGAGCCACTGGTTCCATTCTCCCTGGGATAGACATCACTCAAGGGCACCTTCGGCTGCTGTGTCTCGCCCCTCAGGAGGGGATAGCTCCGCTAGCTGAGGCCCCAAGCCAACTTTCATGCCCAGATCGGTAGAGGAGAAGGCTTATGCCCACCATCCCCCAGAGACTTCGGGAGATAAGCTACCACTGCATGCTGCTTCTTCCTCATCCCTGGATGAAGTGGTGGTGGGTATCTCCATGGTGGCGCCCCCTCCAGTTGATCATAGGGCATACCAAGACCTGTTGCACCAAGTAGCCCAAAACATGAACCTCCCTGTGGAGGAAATAGAGGAACTGGAGGACCCCATGGTGGACAACCCATCCCAAGAAGGGTCATCAAGGGTGGCCTTACCAATTATAAAAATTATTCAGTCTGACTACATTCATACCTCCCACAGAAAAGGGAGTAGAGAAGAACTACTTTGTCCCTTCCAAAGGGTTGCGAGTTCCTATTTTCTCACCCCCTTCCTCCTCCTCTTGTGGTGTCAGAGAGAGAGAGGCAGTTCCAGCCCCCCAGGCCAAAAAAGCCAAAAAGATGGACCTTTTCGGGTGGATGCAGGAGGAGGTGGTCTGTGCCAGAGTCCCATTCTCCAGGCCTTTCCCAAACTTGCGACTGGTGATGGACGCCTCTGACACGGAATGGGGAGCCCACATCAGTGACATGTGGACTCAAGGTATGTGGACTTGAGAGGAACTCTCCCTGCACATCAATGGCAGGGAGCTGTGGGCAGTCCACCTCGCATGACAGGCCTTCCTACCCCATCTTTCGGAGAGTGGGGAGAGAGAGAAGAGGGACAATCCTCATCCTGTCCAACAGCACAATGACAGTGTCCAATATAAACAGGGTGGGGCACGTTCCCCTCCCCTGTGCCTGGAAGCCTTCAGTTATGGGAACTCTGTATTGGGGTGGATATTCACCCCACTGCCTCTTACCTCCCCGGGACACAGAATACTCTGGCGTACCAGCTAAGCAGATCCTTCACCATCCACAAGTTATCTCTCAGGGGGAATGTGGCCCTCCAAATTTTCCACAAGTGGGATTTTCCCCTCCTGGACCTGTTTGTGACACGTCAGAACAGGAAGTGTCCCAGGTTCTGCTCCCTCATAGGGTTAGGTTGCAGGTCCCTGGGGGATGTTCTCATCACCCCATGGCCAGAGGGCCTGCTTTATGTGTTTCCCCTGTTCCCTCTGGTGCACAAAGTGCTTTTGAGGATGAGGGAATTCAGGACCTCCCTCATCCTCATTATGCCAGTCTGGCCCACTGTTTCATGTCCCTGATGAGCCTCTCTTGTAAGAGACTGATCGCCTTCCTGCTGTATCCGGATGTCATAACGTAGGACTTGGGCAGACTTTGCCTCTCAAACCTGTGGTCCCTACACCTAATGGTCTGGAAGCTCCCTGGTTGGCAGCAGCAGAGCTGCAGTACTCAGAGCAAATGCAAGAGGTCCTGCTGGGGAGCAGGAAACCTTCCACTACGGTTACCTATCTGGCTAAATGGAAGTGCTTGTTTGTCTGGGTTGCCCAGAAGGGGATCTCTCCCACAGATACCCAGGTCCCGCTCAGGAGCTATCCTCTTCCTCAGTCAATCACATGGCGGCTATTTCCACTTTTCACCTGGGCCCCGGGGGCACAAAGCTCTTTGCGCACCCCATGGTCAATTAGTTTCTGAAGGGGCTGGATAGGTTTTACCTGCATGTCCATCAGCCTGTCCCTCAGTGGGACCTTAACTTGGTCCTGAACAGGCTCACAGGGCCCCCTTTGAGCCTATGATAATATGTTTGTTATTACACCTCTCCCAGAAGGTATCATTCCTTGTGGCCATTAGGTCGGCCAGACGGGTGTTAGAGTAACAGGCACTTACCTCCAGGCCTGCCTACACAGGCTTTTTCAAGGATAAGGTCAGGCTACACCCCCATCCCAACTTCCTGCCAAAGATGGTGTCTCAGTTTCATGTCTCCAAGGACATTTTTCTCCCGTTTTTTTACCCTAAGCCCTATGCTTCCAGTAAAGAGCAGTCTTTACGCATGCTAGCTGTTAGGAGAGAATTGGCTTTTTATTTGGACAGGACAAAGCCTTTTCGTAAGTCCCTCTAGCTGTTTGTGGCAATTGTGGAGAGGCTCAAGGGCCACCTACTCTCCACCCAGAGAATTTCTTCATGAATAACCTCCTGCATTAGGGAGTGCTATAGTCTGACTGGAATTCCAGTCCCTCCTGTCACAGCCCATTCCACTAGGGCACAGGCCTCCTCTATGGCCTTTCTGACTCAGGTCCCTATTTTGGATATCTGCAGGACTGCCACATGGTCTTGAATTCATATTTTTGCCAACCATTATGCTCTGACTCAGCACGCTAGAGAGGATGTGGCTCTTGGCAAGGATGTTCTCCGCTCAGTAGAAGGTTAAAATTCCAACACCACCTCTTGGGGTTTCTGCTTTGGAGTCACCTAAATGGAATGGGCATGAGCAATCACTCGAAGAAAAAACAGTTACTTACCTTCATAACTGTTGTTCTACAAGATGTGTGCTCATGTCCATTCCAAATCCCTCCTGCTGCCCCTTCTTTGGAGTAGTTTGGTAAGAAGGAACCGAGGGGGTTAAGGACCAGCAGGGGTGTATATTAGCTGTTATAGCGGTTCCACTCCAGAGTGCTCCCCTGCTGGTCCAGTGGGTACTGCTAAGGGAAAAACTTCCTACATGTGCATGTAGCATGCATGTACCTGCATGTAATGGATATGAGCAACACAACTTGAAGAACAACAGTTACGAAGGTAAGTAACCGTTTTCAGAATCATCTCCTTGGCCACCATTATTCCCTGTCTGGATCCGGGTGACTGGTTACCTGCCTTTGACATGCAGGATGCATATATCCACATATTGATCTTTCAATGTCACAGATTCACAGTGGCTCAGATTCACAGTGGCTAACAAAAGAGATTCACAGTACCTCAGATTCACAGTGGCTAACAAAAACTATCTGTGGCACTCCCCTTCAGCCTCTCCACTGCCCCCTGTGTATTTACCAAGTGTATGGCAGTGGTAGTGGTCTTCCTGCGCAAGAGGGGTGTCCAGGTACTCCCCTACCTCTACGATGGATTGCTGATAGCAACCTCCCTGAATAGCTTCATGCATGTTAGACTCACGTTAGAGCTGTTCAATTGCCTGGGCATCCTCCTAAATGAGAAATTGGTTTTGAGTTTGGTGCAAAGAATAAATATCATTGGAGCAACTCTAGACTCAACTCAGGGAAGGGTGATACTCCTAAAAGCGCAGTCTCAGGTGATACGGAACTTGGTGCACACTCTCACCCAGTATCCTGTCTCAACCATGAGGACATACCCCAGCCTTCTGGATCACATGGTGTCATGTTGCCATGTGCTCAGATATGCATGACTGCACCTCAGACCCCTCCAAAGGTGGCTCATCTCAGTCTACGTACGAATGTGTGACAGTCTGGATTTGGTGGTGTCCTACTAAAAGCCCACAGGGAAAGGCGCGCCTAATCCTGGTGGCGCCAGTGTGACTGTGCCAACATTGGTTCTCCACTCTACTCTGTCAGTGGAGACACCAATAGCCCTTCCTTTGTCCCAGACCACCTAACTCAATGTCAAGGCATCTCAGACACCTGAACTTGCACTCTCTCCATCTCATAGCATGGAAGCTAGATGGTTCAATCCTTTAGAGCTTCAGTGCTCCGTCCAAGGGGCAGGAGGTTCTTTTGGGAAGCAAGAAGCCGTCCTTTAAGGTGGCATACCTGGCCAAGTGGAGGAGGTTTTCTACCTGGTATGCAGAATGAGATCTCTCCCGCATGAGTACACCCATCCCGGTAATATTGGATTATCTTTTGCATCTACAAACACAGGGCTTAGCCACCCACCTGTCAAGGTTCACCTGGTAGCTATGTCTGCTTTTCACTCTGGGTGCTCCCAGTGTTCCCTTTTTGGTCATCAGATGGTAACCTGCTTTAGGAAAAGGTTAGACATGTTATATCCATCTTCTCACTTACCTCTACCTACGAGGGACATTATCTTGATGCTCAATAAACTCATGGGAACCTCACTTGAACCAGTGACTGAGTGTTCATTGTTTCATTTCTCCATGAAGGTGGCCTTCCTGGTGGTCATCACCTTGGCAAGGAGGGTGCCTGAGTGGAGAGCTCTTTGTTCGGAACCCCCTATATGGTTTTCTCAATGACAAGGTGCAAGCTCAGGCCACCCCTGAACTTTTTGCCAAAGGTGATCTCCCAGTTCCACCTGGGTCAAGATATCTTCCTCACAGTTTTTTATCCAAAACCATACTCCTAATGCTAGACAAAGGGTGCTGCACACACTGGACATGAGAAGGGTCCTAGCTTTCTATACTGATAGTAAAAAACCATTCAGGAAATCCACTCAGCTATTTGTGGCTGTAGTGGAATGGATGAGAGGGGATCCGGTCTCTGCACAGTGTATATCATCCTGGTCACGTGCCGCTTGAGGAACATTACTCATCAGACTTCTTCACTAATGAGTAATGTTCCTCAAGTGGCATGTGACCAGGATGCATCACTGAATTTGGTCTACTGGTTGCACCAACATGTGAATGCTGATGCTTCCCTTCCTCATAAACAGATTATTAATATGGGCACTGTACACTTTTTAGAGGGAAAGTGACCAGTTTTGTACATATTTTGACTTAAATGAAGTCACATACTGGTATATTATTTTTCTATATTTTTTACAGGTGGAAGAAGCTCTTTTAACTGGCTAACAGGAAGCAGTATTGACACATTGGCAGAATATACAGTCCCTTCATCCTCTGAATCATTGTCTTCATCCATGCTGTTTGTTAGCAAGCGGAGTGAGAAATCACAGAGGGCAGCCTTGAAACCATTGGGGCCCAATTTTGGGAAGAAAAGGCTGGGTTTGCCTGGAGACGAGGTAGACAGCAAAGCTAAAGGTATCTGTTACTCTTGGGGAGCAGGACATTATTCTTGGAATGTTGTAATAAAAGCACAACCTGGAAATTCTATTTCCTCTACTATCTGATGTAAGGAGCATGTCAGATGTGAGTCTTTCAGTGTGAGTGGGCTACTATCCCCTACTTAATACGTCTGTCATTCATTGTCCCAAGATAAATATATCAGCTGTGACTATTTGTGATATAGGTGGGTGGTCATTGAGTAGTTGATTTATTTAGGTGTCTTCGAAGTGCAATGTTATTAGCTAAAATAATTGGGTGGTTGGATCCATTGTCTAATACCAACATTCCTTATTTATGTTCCTTGTTCTAAGATGACCAGAAAGCAAATGCCAGGGAAATCTATATCACCTTGTGCCCTCTAATTTCTCTGATTATCTCCCTAAATAAACCTAACAAGTAGTTAAACTTTAAAAGTTTTTTTCCCAAATAATTTAAGTAGTGAACATTTTTCAAATGGATTCAAATTTGGCAGTCTCTGAAAATAAGCTTTCATTTATCCGTTCCATATTTTGAAAACACTAGCATCGTTCTTATTTAGAGTTCTTTTTGTACAGTTAGTTGGACTTGAACTGGAAGGGACCTCAGGAGATCATCAAGTCCCGTCCCCTGCCCTTGATCAAGCACCGTCTAGAATAGATCATCCCTAGTCCAGCCTGTTCTTAAATATCTCCCGTGATGGAGATTCCACAACCTCCTTAGGCAATTTATTCCTGTGTTTAACCACCCTGATAGTTAGGAAGTTTTTCCTAATGTCCAACCTTAAACCTCCCTTGCTACAATTTAAACCTGTTGCTTCTTATCCTATCATCAGAGGCCAAGGAGAACAATTTTTCTCCCTCCTCCTTGTATCACCCTTTTAGATACTTTAAAACTGCTATCATGTCCCCTCTCAGTCTTCTCTTTTCTAAGCTAAACAATTATTTTAGTCTTCCCTCATACGTCATGTTTCTAGACCTTTAATCATTTGGGTTGCTTTCTCTGGACCTTCCCCACTTTCTCTACATCTTTCTTGAAGTGTGGTGCCCAGAACTGGACACAATACTTCAAGACTTAATGAGCATGGAGTAGAGTGGAAGAATGACTTCTCGTGTCTTGCTCACAACACTCCTGTTAATGCATCCCAGAATCATGTTTGCTTTTTTTGCAACAGCATCACACTGTTGACTCATATTTAGCTTGTGGTCCACTATGATCCTATATCCCTTTCTCCAGTACTCCTTCCTACACAATCACTTCCCATTCTGTATGTGTGAAACTGATTGTTCCTTAAGTGGAGTACTTGGCATTTGTCCGTATTGAACTTCATCCTATTTACCTCAGACCATTTCTCTAGTTCAGTGTTTCCCAGTTTAATTTGGCCACGGGACCCCTAGGGTTTTTGTCTTAAAAAAAAAAAAAAGTCCCATTACCGCATTTCGTTGAGACCCGTCGTGGCTCGGTCTCTTTAAGAGAGGGTGGAGGAGTGCCGGCCTTTCGTGGAAACCTTGCTTTCACTTCGCGGAACCCCAGGTTCCACGGAGCACCAGTTGGGAAACACTGCTCTAGTTTGTCCAGATCATTTTGAATGATGACCCTATCCTCCAAAGCACTTGTAACCTCTCCCAACTTGGTATCATCTGCAAACTTAATAAGCGTACTCTCTATGCCATCATCTAAATCATTGATGAAGACATTGAACAGAACCAGTCCCAAAACAGACCCCTGTGGAATTCCACTTGTTATGCCCTTCTAGTAGGATTGTGAGCTATTAATAACTACTCTCTGAGAATGGTTATTCAGCCTGTTATGCACCCGCCTTATAGTAGCCCCATCTAAGTTGTATTTCTCTAGTTTATTGATAAGAAGGTCATGTGAGACAGTCAAATGCTTTACTAAAGTCTCGGTGTGCGACATCCACCGCTTATCCCTTATCCACAAAACTTGTTATTCTATCAAAGAAAGCTATCTGATTGGTCTGACATGATTTGTTCTTCATAAATTAGGGGTGTAAGTGACTATTCGACTAGTTGACTATCCGATAAGCAAAAGCTTATTGGGTAGTTGACTAGTCACTCTCTCCCCCTCCACCCCCCCCGGCCCTTGCTGCATCCATCACAAAGAGGCAGCAAGGCGGGGAAGAGGAGGGGATACTGGGGGGAACCGGCTTAAAAGCCGGTTCCCCCCAGCTGCAGCTCCATGGGATGGGACGGGCACAGTGGCGGCATTTCCTCTTTGAAATGTACAAGAGCCCCAGCAGAGGCTCTTGTGCATTTCAAGATTGAAACACCACGTGGAACCCAGGGCCAGCCCGGCATTTTTGCTTTGAAATGTACAAGAGCCTCAGTGGGGGCTCTTGTGCATTTGAAAGAGGAAGTGCTGCATGGAGCCTGGGGTCAGCGGGGAACTCGCTGCTGGCTCCAGGCTCCATGAGACGTTCCAACTTTGAATGCACAGGAGCCCCCACTGAGGCTCTTATACATTTCAAAAGCGGAACGCACACTAGTCCTTATCAAATAGTCGATGGAAAACCCATTTTCTATCAGAAATCCAAATTTAAAAATAAAAAGTGAAGCAGACAGCTCTGAAGATTAACTCCTTCAGCATGGACTATGCATGTATATCATGCTGCCCAAGGTACTTCAACCCTGTTTTGAAAGGAACATACATAAAATAAGTACAGTTTCCAATCTATCCATAGTCTTCTTGTAGAAGGTGCTAGCAAATGTGTCTGCTATGATGATGTAAGTTGTTTCTGAACAGCTGTTTACAAAGAGTTGAACTGATATCAGACTAATTTCATATGAACAGACATTGGACTGTCTCTTGCCAGTTCCTATCCTGGGTTGGATTTGAACCCACAAAGCTTGAAATGGAAAGCTGTATAGTCTATTACCAAATCTTTTGATTTGTTTAACTCTATAGAGATCTGAAAACATGCTGAATGCTTTTTAGAACTTAGATAAAATACAGTACCTAGCTTGAGGAGCTTAAAACCTATTTTTCAAATAGACAGTAGTTACAGACTCACTGTAGTACAATTCACTCACAACATTTTACATACTTACAGGTCAGACATAGAATGTAGATGGGAAATGCTGATTAAAATTGGATGATTGAAATAACTGTTAAGTTTGTCTTTAAGGGGGATAGCTTTAAGGGTGGAGATTCAAAACAAGAGTGTAAATTGTTGGAACTTACTCATTATGTATTAGGTATAGATGAACGGGCAGAAATTCTAAGGTTGCGGAGGCGTTTCTTAAAGGACAAAGAGAAACTCAGCTTGATTTATGCAAGGAAAGGTGTCGCTGAACAGAAACGAGAAAAGGTTGGTTTGCTTCTTAATAATTAGTGGTCAAAATCTTTGAGTGATAGGATTTGTTTGCTGTGCTTGAGAAGTCTGATATTTTGTCTATAGAAGCATCATATAATTGGAAAATTATGGTGGTGGGTGCCATCAGAAGAAACTAGATAGGCTCAGTTACAGAGATGGTATCTGAAGTTATGAGTTGCAAGGTGTATATCATTTATATGGGTAAAGCTGAGTGTGAACTAAACTTCCCTAGTACGGAAAGCACTGGGGGTTTCTATTCCAATCTTCAGTATTGTGTGAGGGTACTGGATAGGGATGTTAGTGTATAGTTATAGTGATAAAGAGGCAGCAGTGTAGAGAGTTTGGGGGGCAGTCAGGCTCCATGGAGCTGTCTGCTCTCCATGCCCCCCCACTCCACTGCCTCTTAGAGGCAGCGGTGGGGTGAGGCGAGGCGGGAGTTGATGCTTGGGGAGATTCGGCTTAAAAGCTGGCTCCCCCCTGAGCACCAGCTCCATGGAGCCACCTCCTCCTCCCCCCCCCCCCCCTGCTGCCTTTGTATCAGAGGAAGCAGCATGGTGGGGTGTGTAGGTGGGATGCTGGAACAGCCCCTGTCCACATGGAGCTTGGGCCCCCGCGGACAGTGGCTGCTCCATGGGATGCAGCCTTTGTCTGTAAGGAGCTTGCTTCCCCCCCTCCCTGCCCTGTGGACAGAGGCTGCTGTTCCCTCTTTCCCCTCCCCCTCCCCCCCGAGCTCCCTTCACAGACTGGTTCCTGCTCGCTACCCAGCGCTGCTGCCTCTGATACAGATACAGCAGTTCTAGATGGCAGGGGCTCCCAGGGATTGGGGCTGGGAGCACACTGCCTGCCTTCCCCACTCCCAGGACCATCAAATAATTGTGTAACTACTAAGATTTTGTGCAGTTACACAATTATTAAATTAAATATCTAACATCCCTAGTATTGGACTATGATTTTTGTGTACCATTTGTATCACAATTCCTGAGTGCAATGGTGCAAGTTAAAAATGGAAGCGCTATTCCTCAACTGTTATGGTGCACTGTGAAACTCTTAAATGTTTCTTGTATGCATAAGGCATAATTTTCCAAATAAGATGTCTTATTTAGGTGCATAACTTTAATGTGTCCTAATAATCAGGCCACCAGCAAGTCCCAGTATCTTCATTGAGAGTTGAGGGTACTCATCACTCTTGAAGATCAACCACCTTATCCTTATGTCCCTACCTATAGATTTATATTGACTAATTTTAGATAACCTACATTGGAAAACTGTGGCCACAGTTTGTTCTTTGCTCAAGATGTGTAGGTACATGCAAACCTGGTATTATACCCACTGAGCCCTGTTATATATGTCTGACAGAGTTCTCCCTCAGATACAGAATATGAAATGGCTGGTAGAATAACCAAACCTAAAATGTCACATAGCTACTACTATGCTAGGTGATGTTTGTCCCATGATGGACTCTTGGGCACTGTGTTATATGAATAATATTTTAGCCTGTGTAAAGTGTGATACTGGATTTCTTTCAGGGTTTATAGATTGCAGATTACTGTGATAAAATCCTCTAAAACATTTGTAGCACCTGTTTATTTAATCCCTTCATGTTAGTTGTGTGTGATTCATCTTTCTCACTTTTTTGAGAACTCTTAATAGCTTTAATAAGGGTCATGTTGCTAAAAATAGTAAGCACTGTTGCATGGAAACTGATATAGCTGGACAAAAGTGTACTTAAGGAGAGAAGTACATCACATCAGTATTGTCATGTCTGATGGGGCAGCAGGAGAAAAGAGATGCCAGCCAAGAGGAATTTCTTATGTTCTGAGAGCACTAAAGCTCTAATTCCCCATGACATATGTCTTGTGATCTTTTGAGAGTGTGATCTATTTAGGAGATAAAATGGGGCAAAGGGGTGTGGAAGTGAGAGATGGGAAGCCCAAAACACGAGGAGGAAGAGGTAAGATTTGAGCGTAAGGAAAGAAATTGCTATTCCTGCCTCATACTAGCACACAGACTTGTTCAAGAAATGCTATTCTAACTGATCTGGATAGCAGTAGCAATATGTATACATATTTTTGCAGGGGAGGGAGTATACGTCAAACCTTTTTGCTGTTAATCCTCCCTTAGGCCTTCTTGCCAAAGCCCATTGGTATTTTCACTTATGTAAAAGGAAGAAGGCAGAGAAATCTGGAGAGAAGTAAAGGCTTGTGTTCATGAGTGGGTTGTACCTATTTAATTTAAGATGTAATTTAAAACTGATTTAGTCAAACTGATTCAAAAGACTAGTTGGATAGTCACAGCTCAGTTTAAAGCAGATTTCTATTTGTTTAGCTTAAATTAATTAGGAGTAAGTTTACGCTAGAATAAAAACCACCATTCTTAAACAGCGAGTCTATAGATTTGCATTGATTTAGGTAAATTTGGTTAAAAATTGATTTAAGGTAAACTAGTGCCACTTCTGTAGACAAGGCCTAAAATGCAGTCATACTATGTAGGGGTGAAGATACCTTCAGGAAGAAGCTTTAGTTTTGGTTTACCTTTACAGAACAAGATCATTTTGTTTGCATTTAATTCCTGATTATGATTTCTGTAATTGCTTTTAGACATTAACACTTGTGACAATTTTAAAAGGAGATGTTAAACTTGGGTAACACTTATTATGTCTCCTCCATTAAACAAGAAACAGGTTTCATTTAGTAGGTGTAATGTGATCTTTCATTTCTATGCATAAGCAAAGATGCATTTTTGGTGGTAATTGTTGCAGGAGATAAAATCTGAGCTGAAAATGAAGCACGATGCTCGAGTCACACTGTACAGGAGTTACCGACAAGGAGACCTTCCTGATATCCAGATTGAATACAGCAGCCTAATCACTCCTCTGCAGGTTGTGGCACAGGTCTGTTTTTTGTTCTCTGGTCATTAACTGAATATTCCAAAATTGTTCTCTGTAAAGCAGATTGAGTGTGTGACAGCCAAGCTTTTTTCAAAAGGGTTCATAATTTGTGACATTGCAGTTACCACCAACTTGAAACACCCTAAATAAGTCAGATTTTCAAGTTGTGGGTGTTCAGCACTTTCTGAAATTCAGGCCCCATTAAGTTGTCTTTATTTGGGGCATCAAAAATGAAGAAAAAGGTGTAGCTGACTTTTGTTTCCCAGTTGAAATAGTAGCAATTATGAATTGGATTCTTTTTTAGTTTGATGGTCAAGCTGTCATAATTATTTGGTTACCCTTGCCCTCTTCCTGCCCATCACAATACTGTAGTCAGGAATAAAGGTGCATAAGTTAGGCTCATTCATTATTTTTGTAAACTCTAGTCCCATCTTTTGGTGGGTATCTGCTCCCAAACAGCCAGGTTTTCAGGGGAGATAGGGAAGGACTCCTGAAAGGAGCTACTACTTCTCAGAGGCCTTTCAAATGGCCATGCTGGGTAGTATGTGAAGAAAAAAAGGTTACTTACCTTCTCATGTCAGTTGTCCTTTGAGATGTGGTGTTAATGTCCATTCCAGTCAGGTGGTGTGTACAAACACATGCACGGTAACCAGATATTTCCCTTTAGCAGCTAGCCATAGGGTCAGTCTGCTCACCCATGGCTTCATGGCACCAAATATAGAGCCTTTCTCGCTTTCCCCTACTCAGTTCCTTCTTCCCATCTACTTTAACAGAGGGGAAGGAGGGTGGATATTGGAATGGACACAAACCACGTGTCTTGAAGAAGAATAGTTACAAGAAGATGAGTAACCATTTTTCTTCAAGTGTTTGTTCATGTGCATTGCTGTCAGGTGACTTTCAAGCCCCCAAGTTCAGGTGGCAGAGTTGGAGTCTTGCTGAGTCCTATCCAAATGCTGTATCATCCCTAGTCTGGTTTGAATGGTGGTGCCATCAGTCTGGAGAGAACTAGGTTGAGATCCCAGGAGGGTTGGCCTTCATACTTGAGGGAGTGTGTAGAGACCTTTTAAGAATCAACTATGGGTTTACAAACATTGAGCGGCCATTTATACCCACGTGGAAAGCTGAACGTCTGCTAAATAGACCCTTATGGAAGAGACTGAAAGCCCTTGCTGTTTGAAGTGGAAAAGGTATTTTAGAATTAGTAGAACAAAGGTCTGTCCCATTTTTTGTTCCAAGCTGGGCAATATGTTAGCAACCAGTCATAACTGAAGAGGTCTCAATCTGAGTCTGGCGTGTTGCATTATTATGTACATGCTGCCATGTGTCCCAGTAGTTTCAGGCAGATCTATCCCATGGTAGTGGGGAACTGTCTCAGGCCCTGAATAACAACCAAGGCATGAAACCTTGCTTCTGGGAGGTATGGCCTTGCTTCGTTCGAGTCAATACTACCCCAGTATACTCTATCCTTTGGACAAGGGGCAGAATGGATTTCACCTCGTTAAGGAAGAGACCTAGATTTTTGAAGTTAGTAACTCTGATTCATTTTACGTGAGCTGTAACCTGAGTCCTGGACTGGCCCTTGATGAGCCAGTTGTCAAGGCACAGAAATACTTGTACCTCGTGTATGTGCTGGAACTCAGGGCCAACTGCCATACACTTTGTGAACACCCAAGTTGCTGTTGAGAGGCCTAACAGGAAGACTATAAATTGATATTGGGGGGTGGTCACCACAAATCTAAGGTATTTCCTGTGGGGCTGATAGATCACTATATGGAAGTATGCGATCTTCAAGTCGAGAGCCACATACCCATCAGCTGGATCCAGGAGGGGATTATGCAAGCCAGAGAGACCATGCAGAAATTGAGTTTCTTTACAAACTTGTTGAGTTCCTGTAGGTCCAGACTTGTCTTATAGGTCCAGACTTGTTGCCCTTTTGGTATTAGGAAATATGGGGAGCAGAAACCCTCACCCTTGTATTCCTGAAGAGCGTTTTCCACGGCCCCTATAGCAAGGACCGATTGCACGTCCTGATTGAGGAGTTGAGGTAATAGTGATAGTCCCAGGTGGATGGGGACCTTCTGTTCCTGTTGCAGCGGGACCAGTACAAGTTGGACTCAGACTCTGCGGTATCTGTGAAGGAAGACCATGGAGGAGCCATGCTGAATACTGAGCCTTGCTGCCTAGGACTCTGGGATCTGTGTGGGTGACTGCCTGTCCAGCACAGTGATAGAAATGTAGCTGTGTTAGTCTGGTGTAGCTGAAACAAAAAACAGGACTATGTAGCACTTCAAAGACTAACAAGATGGTTTATTAGGTGAGGAGCTTTCGTGGGCCAGACCCACTTCCTCAGATCAAATAGTGGAAGAAAATTGTCACAGCCATATACATTCATTTTTTTTAATTGTATCCTTTGGTATATATGGTTGTGACAATTTTCTTCCACTATATGATCTGAGGAAGTGGGTCTGGCCCACGAAAGCTCATCACCTAATAAACCATCTTGTTAGTCTTTGAAGTGCTACATAGTCCTGTTTTTTGTCCAGCACAGAGGAGATATGCCACTTGAAGGTGCCCTGGATGTGGCTGGTGCTGGTAACTTCTCCAGTCTGAGGGGAAAGAACAGCACTGTGCAATGAAGGAGTTTGTCATTTCTATTGAATATTATCTTTCTAATGGTCCTCTCCTAAACACTTCAGGCACAAAGTGTGAGGCTCACTTCTGGGCATAGTGATAGAGATGCAGCCGTGTTCGTCTGGTCTAGCTGAAACAAAAGACAGAACTATGTAGCACTTTAAAGACTAACAAGATGGTTTATTAGGTGATGAGCTTTCGTGGGCCAGACCCACTTCCTCAGATCAATTTGTGGAAGAAAATTGGCACGACCATATATACCAAAGTGATACAATCAAAAAAAGTGAACACATATAAAATTGACAAATCAAATTTTAGAACAGAGTGAATGTGAGGGGGGAAGGTTAGTGTCTGTGAGGTAATGACATTAGGGGTGATAATCTTTGTAATGGGTGAGATAATTGTCATCTTTGTTGAGACCCATACATAAAGTGTCAAATTTAAGCATGAATGACAATTCTGAAGCTTCTTTTTGAAGTCTGGAGTTAAAATCTCTCTGAAGCAATGTGCATGTTTTAAGGTCATTGAGAGAATGGTTAGTCTGGCTGAAATGGCAAGCAACAGCTTTTTCTCTGTGAGAGAGCCTGATGTCTGTGTTATGTGCATTGATTCTTTGGTGAAGTGTCTGAGAAGTTTGTCCAATGTACATAGCAGACAGACACTTTCGGCACATGATGGCATAAATTATATTTCTGGATGGACCAGAATATGTGTTCTTGATCTTGTAACTAACATAGTTCGGTCCAATGATGGTATCAACAGAGTAAATGCATGAAATGGAATGCATATGGACAAACACTCAAAGAAGAATAGGATACATTCTGAGCCCCCAGCTCTAGTCCCTCCTATCAACACTGTTATATACGTTCACTGGTTTCATAGAAAATGCCTTATTTAATACTGTAAAAGTACAGGGTCACATGTCTTGAACAAAACAGTGACATTTAGAAGATGCTATGTTAGGTAGAGCTTAAAATCTCTAATATGGTGGCTTAACGAAGAAATATGATTAGGAGAAGAAAATTTATGGTCTCCACCCCCCTCGCCTCTTCCTACAATCTTTTCAAAAGACTTTGGCACTTCAAATTTGGTCCACTTTGTCTGGAATACACCATTCTTGGCATACAGTGAGGTCACTGAAATTATAGCATTGTTACCTTCTTTCTAGCACACTCAGCTGAAAACCAGTTATATTGCCTTAGTCACTTATCCTGTGACCTTACTGATAATTTACAGAGAGATCCAGCACTGGCCAAGCAGCTCTTCAGCAGTTTGTTTACTGGAATTTTGAAAGAAATGAACAACGTTAAGAGTCCTTCTGAGAAAAACTATATCACCCAAGAGCTGCTGCAGAATTTCAACCATTTTCTGAGCACAACAGTGTCTTACTTCCCACCATTCATAGCCTGCATTCAGGTAAAACTTTGTGTGATATATTGTCTGATGAATTGTGCTATCACAGCTAACTCCAGTAAGTGCATTTTAATCTTGTTAGAAGGTTAAACTGAGGAAGGGGGATAGAAATGGAAGCAATGGTGAATGAAGATGGTAAAATAACTGTTCTATAAAAGTGAGAACTAGATGACATAGCAGATCCTTCTACAGTTTTGTATTCCATCTGCACAAAACAATAGGTACCAGAAATCTTAACTACATGACTTTGACCAGAATGCCTTAAAACAGCATTTCCTAAAGTGTTGAAACCTGAATCCCCTTCTATGAAGATGAAACCTGTTGCTCTACAGTCCCAACACATGTAAATTAAAGACCTGTCAATATTAATATAAACATCTTCTGTACACTATCTGGCTAGTTTCTCACATGTGCATCAAATGTAACACATTGGGAAGTACAGGTATTTATAATACTGTACTTTCTTTCCTTTCTTACATAATTTGTTGTGCAGTTGAAAATAATTAATGGTGATATTTAAAATATCATTGGGCAATTTAAAGTAACATTATGATGGGATACGGTCAGAGAAGACCCCTTGGGGTGCTTCCCGGAGTTCTGACAAAGTCATTGACACTAGCCTCTTCGCTCCTGGCGCTTCACAACACCCTGCTGGGCCACATCTCCTGGTCTTCCCCAGCCAAGGCGCAGAGCTGAGGTCAGTGCTCCTCTGAGGAGCAATATAGACACTGGAAACTCTTCAGGTTTGAGGAAAATGCAGTTTTGGACCCAGCTTCCAGGGAAACTACTCTCCAAATGGGATCAGAACCCCACAAAATTATTCAGGTAAGCCCCTTTTAATAGGGGATGTTCACACTGATTGTTCCCCCACATAACAGTTATTTACACCGGGCTTGATAGTAAATAAAAGTGATTTTATTAAGTTACAAACAGTATGATTTAAGTGGTTTTAAGTGAAAACAGGCAGAGCAAAGTAGATTACAGATTTAAAATAACAGAAAAAACAGCTAGTTCTAAAAGTAAAAGCTCAATACAAACTTACCCCAAAACAGTTCTTGTTTCAGCTAAATCTCCAAGCCAGGGAAGATCTTTTTTCCTTGGGGTCTCTAGTTCATTCTCATGGGAGTGACATGCCAGCAAAACACCAAGGTTGTGTCTAGACTGCATCCTTTTTTCGTAAAAGGGATGCAAATTAGGCCTGTGGCAATTGCAAATGAAGCAGGGATTTAAATCTCCCCTGCTTCATTAGAATAAAAATGGCTGCCGTTTTTTTCCGGCTTGGAGCTTTGCCGGAAAAAAGCGCCAGTCTAGATGCGGATCTTTTGGAAAATAAAGCCTTTTCCAAAAGATCCCTTATCCCTTATTTTAAGAGAAACCCAGGAAACTACAGACCAATTAGTTTAACTTCTGTGCCAGGGAAGATAATGGAGCAAGTAATTAAGGAAATCATCTGTAAACACTTGGAAAGTGGCAAGGTGATAGGCAACAGCCAGCATGGATTTGTAAAGAACAAATTGTGTCAAACCAATCTGATTGCTTTCTTTAATAGGATAACGAGTCTTGTGGATAAGGGAGAAGCGGTGGATGTGGTATACCTAGACTTTAGTAAGGCGTTTGATACAGTCTGGCATGATATTCTTATCAATAAACTAGGTAAATACAACTTAGATGGGGCTACTATAAGGTGGGTGCATAACTAGCTGGATAACCGTACTCAGAGAGTAGTTATTAATGGTTCACAATCCTGCTGGAAAGGCATAAGAAGTGGGGTTCCGCAGGGGTCTGTTTTGGAACCAGCTCTGTTCAATATCTTCATCAATGATTTAGATATTGGTATAGAAAGTACGCTTATTAAGTTTGCAGATGATACCAAGCTGGGAGGGGTTGTGACTAATCTGGGGGATAGGGTCATAATTCAAAATGACCTGGACAAATTGGAGAAATGGTCTGAGGTAAATAGGATGAAGTTTAATAAAGACAAATGCAAAGTGCTCCACTTAGGAAGGAACAATCAGTTTCATACAGAATGGGAAGCAACTGTCTGGGAAGGAGTACGGCAGAAAGGGATCTAGGGGTCATAGTGGACCACAAGTTGAATATGAGTCAGCAGTGTGATGCTGTTGCAAAAAAAGCAAACATGATTCTGGGATGCATTAACAGGTATGTTGTGAGCAAGACACGAGAAGTCATTCTTCCACTCTACTCTGTGCAGGTTAGGCCTCAATTGGAGTATTGTGTTCCATTCTGGGCACCGCATTTCAAGAAAGATGTGGATCAATTGGAGAGGGTCCAGAGAAGAGCAATGAGAATGATTAAAGGTCTAGAGAACATGCCCTATGAGGGAAGCCTGAAGGAATTAGGTTTGTTTAGTTTAGAAAAGAGAAGATTGAGGGGGGACATTATAGCAGTTTTCAGATATCTAAAAGGTTGTCATAAGGAGGAGGGAGAAAACTTGTTCATCTTGGCCTCTGAGGATAGAACAAGAAGCAATGGGCTTAAACTGCAGCAAGGGAGGTTTAGGTTGGACATTAGGAAAAAGTTCCTAACTGTCAGGGTAGTCAAACACTGGAATAAATTGCCCAGGGAGGTTGTGGAATCCCCATCTGTGGAGATATTTAAGATTAGGTTAGATAAATGTCTATCAGGGATGGTCTAGACAGTATTTGGTCCTGCCATGAGGGCAGGGGACTGGACTCGATGACCTCTCGAGGTCCCTTCCAGTCCTCGTATTCTCTAATTACCTCCAAAAGGCAGATGTTGGAATTAGTTTCTGTATCCATACAAGAATCACATTGCTGCAGAAACCTTTGTCCAAGATAAATTCTTCTTTCCACAGTTCCTGGGAACTAGTTCTTCATTCTGGTATTCTAATACTTGGAAGATGGTGGCATAAAGAGGAATTCACAGAGCACTAAAGATATGTCTCAAGCACATGGCATGCATATACCGATTGTAGCCTGTTGATTTCATTCTGTCCAAAATGTCATGGTATTAGGGCCTCAAGGTTGCTTACAAGTAAAAATACTGTACCAGGTGGCATGTGAGAAACTATTCACAAAATCACTAAATGCACTGTGGAGAAAATGAACCTCTTTGGAGGAAGAGTTGCAAAGAAAGTTCCCTTTCTCTGCAAAAGCATCCTTTTATTGTGAGGGGAGGGGCGGGGTCACGGCTCAATTTCCCAACCTGACACACACACTGCAGAGATGAGGAGCCAGCTTGTAGAATAAACTCTGTAAAACCTATCTCTGTGACTCCCTGAGACAAACTTGTTTGATCTCAGTACCCCAAGATTCAAAAAGACAAAGACTGATTTCTTGCTGCCACCACCCAAGTGAATAAATGAAAATATAAAATAAACCCTTTTCCAGGGAAGAGATCACTTGGGAATCCCCTACCTAAGGCAAAGCTTTCCCCCGCCCCAAACTCCATTTTGCTTTGGAGTTGGAAACACAGACAGAGGGAATCTGCAATGAACAATAGACTCTGCCCGAGTAACTAGGCATGTAAACTTAAGGACACAAGAATCAACCGATACTGGCTAATCAAAACAAAAAGGAAAATACTTTTATCATCAAAACAAAACTACTGTTCAAGCATAGTAAATGACTAGGTGTTAAATAGCTATGAAGTGACATGGACTGAGGGAAAATCCCTGGGCTGTAATCCTTAGTTACAAAAAAGAAAAACAATTAACCAGCTCATACATGATTTCCAAACCCCCAAACAAGGAAAACAGTAAAACCTGACAGACTATCTAAACTTTTCCCTACTTACACATTTAAAGAAGTCCATTCCTGGGATAGCCCATCTCCCTCCATACCTGGAAAAGACTGCTCTGATCTCAACCAAAGAAGAGAGGAAGAAAATCCCATCTCTCTGTTTGAAATTTGTATCTGCATTTCATTGGCTGAATGCCTGAGCCCCCTCCCTCAGGTACATCTCCAGTTGCTTAACCCTTTCCTCACTCTCCAGGTAAGTCCGACTCTCCTTAGTAGCTCCTATTTGATGAGAGATGTGCTTGTCAGTTGGATCCCACATAGCTCCTTAATAGTTTATAAAGCTCTTGCTTTTGTATTGGGGAGAATTTCTATTCCTGCCTAGTTATTTATTATAATAACTTAACTACTTATTGTTTCTCTTCCTACTTCTGAGATTCACTATTTGCTACTTTCTGTGAATAATGATCGAGGAGAGACACTGCAACTGAATGAGAAATTTCTTATCTGTTTATTTGATTTCTGTTAGCACCTTCTCTTTTTGAATTGGACTCACCTTGGGAGTCTGTTAAATGATATTGTTTTACTGCTAATAATTGGTTGCTGTGCAAAAACTGCTCTAGTGGTTGGAGCTGAAGAGTGGAGCTTAGTCCTAGAACCTCCAGCAACAGCAATGGACTAACTCTGAATTCCACAGATAGGGGGCATTGATCCATGAATGACGGATTTGAAGAGAAGTTGCTAATGTAAAGAAAACTATCATATAAGAAATACTGTGTTCTCCCTTCAATTCCAATTTACTGCAGCATTGTCAAACTGCAGAGTTTAATTCTGTCTGAAGGTGCATGTGTGGGAGGGAGAAAAATGGATTGGTTACTCTTATCTACTAAGCCATTCCTACTTGTGCCCCAACTAGGAATTGTTTATGATGCACTGGCCTTTTTCCAATTCTTATAGGCTCTTTAACTGCACCTGTCTTTGTTTTACAGGAAATGTGTTACCAGCACAGAGAACTGCTAGACCTCGACTCGGCCACTGTGAGCACTAGCTGCTTAGCCAGTTTACAGCAACCTGTGGGCATCCTGCTTCTTGAACAAGCTCTAACTCGTCTTTCTTATGCAGAAGAACCCTTATCTAAACGAATGCGTGGAAGAACAGACCTCTCTCCAGATGTGATCAGATGGATCGAACTTGCTAAGTAAGTTGTGTAGTAGGGTCACCAATATAGTAGGTCAGGATTTATTGTTGTGGTGTCCTTACAGGTCTCCTGCTCCCTTAGTGATGATAACCAGAAGTCTGCATGCATGTGTGCCGTGTTGACTTGCGCAAAAATTTTGGAAAAGTGAACGCGTTCTTTCGCCATCCCTGTAAACCTAATTTCACAAGAAACAACGGATGGCTCCAAAGAGAAGGTTTTTCCGAAATTTGACACCACGTAGACATGCCAAATTTTGGCACAGCTTCTTTCAAATGAAAAGTGGAAAAAGACATGCAGTTCGCAATTTGCGTATCTTTTTCTGACTTTTCTTTTTTAGTGTAGACTTAGTCTCTGTTGCTTTTGTCTGCATGCCAAATGATTTGCAGGAGTGCCCTTACATGCTGTAACTGTTTTGGGGCAACTCCATGTGTTAATACATCAATTCTAAGTGTTAACCCTGTCAGTCTCAGCTTTTCACTTTCAAATGCTTTTTCATTCACTCCCCTGCAATGGAGTCCAAACTCCTATCTCCTGATTTGCTCTGTGAACTGTTGCATTTTTACCTTCATTTGATTTACAATCCTGGGACAGAGCTGTTTGCTACTTCCTCCTGGACACTTACTTGTCCCATTCTGAAAGGCACTGGTCTAGGTTTTAGTTCGACTAGAAGCTGGCTTTTATCAAATGATTGTGGTTGCAATGCAGTGTAACCCCTCTCATCTTTTAATTTTATCAGGGCCACCTTAGAATCAAGAACTGGAAGGGACCTCAAGAGGTCATTGAGTCCAGTCTCCTGCCCTTACAGCAGGACCGGGCATTGTCTAGATCAGTGGTCTCCAACCTTTTAAAGCATGAGATCACTTTTTGAATTCAAGTGCTTTCTGAGATCTACCTCAAACCCAAATACCCTAGCCCCGCCTCCTTTGTGCCCCTTTTCTGAGGCTCCTCCCCCTGCTCTCTCCATCCTACTCCCTGCCCCCATACTCCCTCACTTTCATCAGGCAGGGCCAGCGGGTTGGGGTGCAGGCTCTGGTCTTGGATTAAGGGATTTTTTTATAGTAGGAGATTTTTAATACTTCTGAGCTGATTATTGACCTTTCACGCAGGGTTACTCCCATGTCATAAATCTGTTCCAACATGATGTCTGGTGCAGATTCAACTTCTTTATTTCCAGTCCTGTTAAATGCTACAGTCTTACAGGGGATTTCAGAGTAGTGTGTGCAGCATTGTTTAAGTATTAGCTTGTTTGGAGTTTACACAATCCAAAATAAATTTATAATCTGATAGAATAATATCTATATATCAGTAATGCATTCTATGCAGCCAGCCAGTTATACAGCAGGCAGTTTGCATAGACTGTCTTAACATTCATCATTTACAATATCGAAGTACTTTGTACCTGCAAACTTTGCACTAGAATAGAAAGTTATTCATTTTCAACTATCTTTTTAACTTTACTAGGCTTTATCGATCAGTTGGAGATTATGATGTTCTTCGTGGTATTTTCAGTGGAAAGATTGGAACCAAGGAAATTACCCAGAATGCATTGTTAGCAGAGGCAAAAAGTGATTATGCTGAAGCAGCTAAACAATATGATCAGGTAAAAAGACTACATGGCAAATATTTTATTTCCTCTGATTTTTTTAAGAGTCCTTTGTTTACTTGAGTCAGAATAAAAACTCTGTGACAGTCTCTGGTTCCCTTCATTATATGATACAAGATCCATAAAGTATACTTGCTCAAATGCAATATAAATAACAGTTGATAACACACAGTGCTTATTGGACCAAATTTTCAAGTTCTCTTTATTAGTGTCACACAGCTTTACAGACCTAAATCCAATATTATTACAATACACACAAAAGATCATTAGAGAATGGAAATTAAGTGCCTATGGTCAGTACATGTAAATTCTATTTATGTTCACAAGTTGATAATGGATAAAAAAAAGTTGTTGGAAATGATTTACCTATACCATGAAAGGAGGAAAAATGCAGCTTGAATCTCACATCTGAACTGAGTTAAAGGTGTGACCGGCTTAAATTTTGAAGAATTCTTTGGGACATTTTCTTTCATACATCTCAGGTCCTATATGCTGATTAAATACAAGTGCCTCTATCTTCTTCTGATAAAGGAATAAAATATTGTTATGAAACAGTGAAAATGTTATAGTTTCTTTTGAGGGTGGTCTAGAATATTAAAAATCTCATCATATTGCAGCAAGAATCGACTTGGTATTTCTCATCTGACATTCTTTGTCTAGGCTCTTTCTAAACAAGACTGGTTGGATGGTGAACCTACTGAAGCAGAAAAGGATTTCTGGGAACTTGCATCTCTTGAATGCTACAACCATCTGACAGAATGGAAGTCATTAGAGTATTGTTCCACTGTTAATATTGATAGCGGACAACCTCCAGACTTAAACAAAACATGGAGTGATCCATTTTATCAGGTTTGTGAAATGATTGCTACAGTAGATTTGATATCACACTGATTTGCATTTGTACACGGGCCGTTGCTGCTGTGCCATGGCTAGGGATAAAGTGACTAAATTAAAACTAGGGGGCAGTCCCCTCTGCTGGCTATGCTCCCAAACCCCCCTCTCTGGGGGTACGCAGCCTCAGCTCTCCCCCCGGCTGCTGGGGAGGGCCAGGTCGAGACGTAGCCGCCCTGGCCTGCCCTGGCTCTCTTCCCTCCAGCCGCTGGGGGCGGGTGTTTTGGGCTGGACCGAAACTGGCCCAGCTGTCTGCTCTCTGGCCTCCTGGGGATTGGGTTAGGCCAAGGGTGGCCCGGTCCTCTCCCTCTGATATGGAGGGGAGAGGGAGAAGGGGACCGTGATGGGGCATCCTCGCCCCGCACGATGCCTCCAGGCAGGCACTCCTCGCCGCCAAAGGGGGGGCAGTCCGGCGGTGCGCGGCATGCTTCGGAGCTGCGCCGGGGAGAGCGGAGCTGACCGGCGTGCGGGTGGCAGTCAGGGAGTGCAGGGACAGCGCGGAAAGGCCCTGCCCTCCCCCCGAGCGTCCGGCGCATTGAAGGTCGGTGTAAGGATGTTGGCCCTGCCCCCTCCCGACAGGTGACGTATAAGGGCGGCGGGACGTTTTAAAACGCCGCCCCCATAGTCGGGGGGGGGGGAGAGGGGGTGAGCCCCGCAGGGACAGCCGAGCCGGAGGGGCCGTCGTAGGACCAGGGGTATTGTGGCGCAGTATTCTGCTGGCCGGAAGTGAGCCCGCCGGCAGTCTGGCCGTGAAAGGGAAGGTGAGCCTCCCCGCGGTAAGACACCGGGGTGGGGTAAAGGAAGCAGCCCAGGGCAGAACCCTCGCGGGTTGGTGGGCTGACGCGTTACGGCAGGAAGCCCCGTCAGCCGGGACGGGTCTGAGTCGACCCGTACCCTTAGGGCCCTGGGCTGGGGCCCGTGAGTGAGAGCGGGTCCGGGCCCCCCTTTTCCCCCGCCCCACCGCCTTGACGGGGGAATCCTGGTGTTAGTTGGGCGATGGGTCATAATCAAACTCTCGCTGCGTCAGAGCGGGGCTCGATATAGCCGCTGGACCGGCACGTGGTTAAGAATCTAAACGACACGGGTGTAGGGTGGTGACTTTGGGTGTAGGCCTCCCCCGATGAGGAAGGGGCTGTAACCCTGAGGGGGAGACCTCCGCGTGACAGGGACACAACGCATGGTCCTCTTCCTCTGGCGGGGAGGGGTGTCATGTGGTTCAATTTTATTTTAGATCCAAAGGAAACCAGGACATTCCAGGGAAACTTAACCACTTTCTTATTTATTGCAAGATTTAAACAGTTAATACAGTTGTTTACGTTTGACAAGCCTTAAAAACAATTAATACAGCGCAAAGCAATGCAAGCAATTTATAGAAGATCTACTATAATACAATAATAAAGCCTAGTTCACTTACACTTCACCTGTATGTTACCTACAGTACCAGGCAGGCGGTCATGGTTCCTTTTCTTCCCACACATTAGAATACCATGTATTGTAAACTTCTGATAATCTGGCACCTTTAGGACCCAGGGGGTGCCGGATTATCAGCTATGCCGGACTATTGGAAGGGGGCGTTATGAAGGGTCTGGGGTGGAGTGGGGGGAATGCGCCCCTCGGCGCTGCAGGACCAACCCGGCATCACTCCAGCTGCTCTGCCCTAGGCTTCCCCAAGTCAGCTGCTGGTCAGTACAAGATTTCTTGACATTGTCTCACGTACCATGCTTAATCTGCATGGTTATTCAAAATATTCCTGCTTCTCATAGCTTCTCCCTCCCAAGCCATGCCAGTGTGCTTACATGCACAAGACTTGAGACAGGTGTGAGTTTTGCTTTTTAGGGATCTGCACTGTGTTAAAGGCAGACTTCACCATTTATTATCAAAGCAGGGTAGCCCAGGGACCCCCACAAGGGGAAAGAGGGCACAGCGCATGGCCCTCTCCCTCTGGCAGGGAGCAGAGAGGGGGCCCAGCGCCCAGCCATCTCTCTCTGATCGTGAGAGGGGAAGCCACACAGATCTGGCCACGAGGACCCCCACTGGTGAAGGGCTAGGCTACGTGGCTTCTGTGTGCCTCCTCCGTTTGGACCACCAGTGACACTGAACATATCCTGCACACACCCCTCCGTCCACCTGAGTCCCAGTGAGGCTCTGCAGCTCCCCTGCACCCTAACCTCCGTGAGGCTGCGCGGCTCCTGTGCCCCCCCTCTCCTGACCCAAGTCCCTACAGCACATGCATCCCCCTTTCCCACACCCAAGCTCTCACAGCTCCCACATGTCCCCACCTCCCCCCCCAAGTCCCCATGAGGCTGTGGGGCTTCCCTGCGCCCCCACCTTCACCCACCTGAGCCCCCGCATGGTTGTGCGGTTCCTGCATGCCCACCCTGCACCCAAGAGGTTGCATGGCTCCTGCACTGCCCCCTGTTCCCACCTGAGCCCCTGAAGCTCTCATGTGCCCCCGTCCTCACGAACTCCCAAGAGCTGCACAGCTCCTGCGTGGCTCTCCTGGCTCCCACTCGCTTCTCCTTCCCTGCCCCAGAGAGCAGAGGAGCCGGGTGGTTCAATTTAAATTCTGGCAGTCCCCTCCTATGTGGCGGTTGCAAGAGGGACGCTCATGGTCCAGTGGCATTGGGGGGAGGGGTTAACTGTTGGCCCATGCAGGGTGGAGCTGATACGGTATCATGGAGAGGGGGAAGGAACAGAGTAGGGCAGCCATGCGGACTTTCCGCAGAGCACCGGGAAAAGGGAAAGCCGCAGGCACTGGGAGCCACGCACCTTGTGGCTCCTGCCACCCTAGCCCTTTCCAGGGTAGGTTGGAGCATGGGGGAAGCCGCATACTTCACAGCTCCCACAGGGAAGAGGGAGGCCACATGGCTGAGGGTGGAGGGGGGAGCTATGGGATGCAGAGTGACGCATTACATCACTCAGTTGTCCCGCAGGAAAAACCTTTTTAAAGTACAGATGGATAAATATTTTTTTGCTATTCTCTAGTTTCTCAAATTGCCTTTTATTTCCATGGCTGAGCAAATGGCTCCACCTTTGTCACCTTGTTATCTTTGCACCCTTCATGCTGCTGCTGTTTATTTCCCTGCTCCCATATTTGGACGGGGACACAGAATTTATCTTGAAGCTAACAGGAAATGCTAAGCACCAGTACCTGCACAGCTGCATGACACCACCAGAAGATGGTGCTATGTGACTTGTTGGTGATGGAAGCCAGTCTGAAAAAGGTTAAGATGCACTGAAAAGTATAACTAAATTATATGAAAGGACAAGAAGCAATGAACTTAAATTTCAGCAAGGGAGGTTTAGGTTGGACATTAGGAAAAACTTCTGAACTGTCAGGGTGGTTAAACACTGGAATAAATTGCTGAGGGTGGTTGAGAACTCTCCATCATTGGAGATATTTAAGAACAGGTTTGATAAACATCTGTCAAGGATGCTTCTGATGGTACTTGGTCCTGCTATGAGTTCAGGGGACTGGACTTGATGACCTCTCAAGGTTCCTTCCAGTGCTATAAATCTATTATTTGATTATAATATATGTTAGTCAATTCCTAATTTGAAAATCTTTAGACCTCGCAGATGAAACCAGGCCCTGATATGTCTTGCATATTGTTCTAAATCACCAGTAATAAATGGCAGAAGTGATTATTCATTATCTTACCTTAGGAATAAAGAGACTTTTTACTTTTTCCCCACAGGAAACTTATTTGCCATATATCATACGGAGTAAGTTGAAGTTACTGCTCCATGGGGGCAATGACCAGTCCTTGCTAACCTTCATTGATGAAGCTATGAAGATAGAACAGAGGCGAGCCCTTATAGAAATGCATTATAGTCAAGAGCTGAGTCTTCTCTACATCTTGCAGGATGACTTTGACAGAGCCAGATATTATATCAGCAGTGGCATGCAAGCCTTCATGCAGGTAACAAAACCACTAACATGTCTACTGATGATTTTCTGCAGGAAATCATGACAAGGGCAACTCTTGCTGCTACTGGAACATGCCTTCAAGGTAAAAATATAAAAGATTAACTCTTGGCCTTCTTGAAGTGAATGGCAAAATTGCCATTGACTTTGTGAGGGCCCTGACTTAAGAAATGGAAATATTCATCCAATGCAACATTCCTACCCTATTTTGGGGTATCTTACTCCTTCCTTTCAGTTTATTCCCTTTGTGCTCTCCTTTTCCCCAGTATATCATACTGAGTTTACTCAGGTTTTCAAAATGACATATCAATGAACTAGACTAACTAGAGATGTTAAATTGCGTTTAATCAGCTAATTCAGTAGTTGATGGAATTTCCGTTGACTACTGGATTAGTAAATAAGGGTATGTCTACACTACAAAGTTAATTTGAACTAACGGACATTACTTCGAATTAACTTTGATAGGTGCTACACTAGCGCTCCGCTAGTTCGAACGTAATTCGAACTAGCGGAGCGCTTAGTTCGAACTAGGTAAACCTCATTCTACGACGACTAATCCTAGTTCGAATTTACTAGTTCGAATTAAGGGGTGTGTAGCCCCTTAATTCGAACTAGTGGGAGGCTAGCCCTCCCCAGCTTTCCCTGGTGGCCACTCTGGCCAACACCAGGGAAACTCGTCTGCCCCCCTCCCGGCCCTGGACCCCTTAAAGGGGCATGGGCTGGCTACGGTGCCCGTGCCAGGTGCAAGCCTGCCAGCACCCAGCCATCAGACCCTGCACCTGTCACGGATCGAGC